ATCCATATAAATGAACAGCATCCCATATATATTATATATATGTTATTATGACCCGTGTTCGTCGCATGCTGCGTGCGTCTATTTCTGAGGTAGCGCACGTTGCGATGTACATATGACCAACGTTCGCTGAAAAACACGTCTCTGGCCTATTTTGCACTGCTCATTTCGGGTAATTCGTGGTTTACCACTAATTATACTGACAAATAACTGCATTAACTCCACATCAAATGAATGACATCAAATCAACGAGTTCAAGGTTAAACCTCTAAATTACATAGGGCAGGTAGGACATTGCCATTGTTAAATGAAGTTGCGGCTCGTTGCTGTGAATTTCAATTGGCCTTCTTGCATGGGGTACATATGGACATCGTTGAGCCCGCGTCGTTGTGCCCGTTGGCGATGAGTGCACTGTTGAAACCTGTACTTTTACTTTTGTCTGACACTAAAGCGGTTCACATGAGAATCCCTCTTGTTTCGATGGGGGAAAAAAGCTTCTTTATTTTTTACTTTTTTTACTGGCATACTATCGCTATGGATGAAACTTTGCCGGGCAACTGACTCACTCACTCTGAAATTACATACTTTACAACTATCACTCAGTTGTATGTGCATCCAGTAAATGTACGCATACAAAATAGCCCATAGTAGGGGTAGCCTATTGGTGTTAGGTGCGACTCTTGATGTGTGTTATATACCTGTATAACTATTCCTGACTGTCTCTGCCACAGAAAACGCCAGCAGAAAAGAGCATAAATACAGGTGAGTGAGTATGATTTTCGCCGCTTTTAGCACTATTAAAGCAACATCACGGCGAAGGACACCAGAAATGGGCTTCACACATTGTACACCTGTGGGCAATCGAACCCGGGCCTTCGGCGTGACGAACGAAAGCTTTAACCACTGGGCTACCCCATCGCCCCTAAATGCAGGTGAACTTTTCTAATATACATATAGCGTCAAAGTTGATTTAATTTAATTTATTGATATGCTCCCATATGTATGCATAATATTGAAAGATGCCCTTCACCGCATATATAATTTAAAACAAACTACAATGGACTTTTAAAAATTTTAAACGTTGTTGAAATTATACTCTCCAATAATGTATACACATGGAAAAATGTTACGCCTCCCTGGCAGTTTGTCTACGAGCTGTCTGGACCCGTGAAGATCCAGGGTTAGAATTGATCTTCAGCAACCCAGGTTTGTCGTAAGAGGCGACCAACGGGATCGGGTGGTCAGGCTGGCTGACTTGGTTGACACATGTCATCGTATCCCAATTGCGTGGATCTATGCCAATGCTGTTCATCACTGGATTGTCTGGTTCAGACTCAATTATTTACAGACCACCGCCAAGAAGCTGGAATATTGCAGAGTGCGGCGCAAAATAACAAACCAAACCAAACCGCGATTTGCCCTATGTCCCACAATCTATACCTAAGGAAGCAGAACGAGATATTTCCTGGAGAGGTATATCATGGACAGCAAACTAGGCTTTTTTGAAGGTGGTATTTGTAAGATTGTCAATCAGTCAGTCAGTCAGTCAGTCGGTGATAGTGGAAGTGATTGTACGTATCTGGTATCAAATAGCTTTATACAGTTTTCCCATTCTAAGTGACATCGTTCATCAGAGTTGTTTTTCTTGGTCATAAATGTTTCTGTTTTGTACATATTACCAAGAATGTGAAAGAAACTATTCAAAGTTGGTCGTTCGGTTTTTTATGCTCGACACTTTTTATACTTTTATACTCTGTCCCCTTGCATCGAGAGTTAGGTAGCTAGCTAGGGCTTGTTTCACACTGAATCAAAAATATATTGACTTTTGTGTGTCGAATTAGAATACAAGTATTGTTCAAGTTGGGAACAGAAGGTTTTAGCATGTTCACATTCTAAAAATACTTTTAAAATATCTTTTCTATTAGATTGACAACTAGTTCCATCTTTAATAAGTTAGATGTAGATTAATCGATGTAAAAGCATGTACTGTAATTCCAGTAACTGAACATCGTTTCTACATTTTCTGTACTGAACTAACATATTGTCTCAGGTAAAGGTTTCTAGGACTTCAGTAACCTGCCCCACAATGAAGCACACCTGACACATGTAGTCCTACCTTAGGCAAGTAAGTTTGTTCATGAATTGCCTCTGTTCACCCAGCAGTGAATGGGTACCCGGTGGGATAAGTCATATGACCTTTAACCCTCTAGCGCCTCACAGGCAGCTTGGGTTATCCGCGGTAATACTGTGAGTATGAACAAGTTGGTGGAAACAGGCCCCTTATACCTAGCCATTATTAAAAGTAATGGGCATGAATTGTCCCAGTTCATAAATAGCTGGAAGGTCAGCAGTTACTAATAGGAGTGACTATTGAGGGGGAAACAATTATTGCGATAGCAATAGTTTATTGCAACATAATATCGCGAAAGCGATAGTCAATTGCGACCAACTATTGCAATACTATTGCAATCTTTTTTCTCTCCTTGAATTGTCTCATTTGAAGTCATTTCCCAAATGAATGCACAGTACATATGAAAAAAACCACGTTGAAGTAGTTTCAGTCTCTTTTAATAACTGACAAGAAACTTGAAACCCTGATCAAGTAAACAGTTAAAACATAAACTCAGTGAAGCTGCAAGTCTGCAGATGCGGATAACCCTCAATCTAAGTGAACGAATCTGGTGTCTCCTGTATTTTGCGCTGCGCATTTATAAACGGATGTCAATTACTAAACTATCGATAGTCACACATACTATCTATGCATCGATAGGTTTTCGTTTCTACCATCGTTTAATTGCTATCGGAGACTCAGTAATGTCAATCCATTGATAAGTTCGATGCATCGTTAGGTAAGACTACAGAATACCGGATACCTTCCGCCATCTTTAAATGCACGCGAGTTTACTTTTGGTTAGGATTAGGGTAAGGTTTAGGGTTAGGGTAAGGTTTAGCGTAGGGTTAGGGTTAGGTTAGGGTTAGGCTAGGGTTAGGGTTAGGGTTAGGGTTAGGCTAGGGTTAGGGTTCTTGTGACGTGACACAATATGGCTGCAGTAGATATCCCGTATTCAGTAGGTGTCAGCCCTAGTTACTAATAACTTAGGGTAGACCCATCTTGAAACTTTTAATGCCTAATGTCTTCGAAGGTAAGATTGGTTTGGTTATGACACTGTTGTGTGACCTAGACATTTGTAGTTGACTGTTATGGCACCAAGATGACAGACTTCCAATGACGACACTGTGAAAAGTGTGTTTAGCAGCAAGGTGCCTGGATGACCAGTTCCACCTCCTCGTCCCGCTTCCAGTAAAATGTCTTATGTGTTCCTTGGGTATATTTTGCCATTTTCGGTATTCCTATTGAATGGCAACTGGTGGTTCCAGTCTCTTTATCTTGTAGCCAAGAATGTCCAAAATGTGGTTCACTGATGTACTATCTGGACTCATAGTGGACTGAGAAATGGGCAGATGGCAACCACGGCCAGCTGTATTCGGACGCGACCCTGTGCATACCCTTCTTCAGAGACTGATTGACTTTAGGTTTTCTTTAATGTTGATTATCATTTATCAGAGAAAGTTAAGTATTTGCTGATAGGAGCCACGCATAATGCTCAATCAAGAACGCCATTCTCAGAACAACGAGGACACCAGATGGGTACGTGAACATTACTCCAATACACGTCCACCTCCAGTTGGAGCCTCATCGTTAGTCCACGACCTACGTCGACATGTTAATTACACGAACGAAATGTGTGGAGATCTCCCGGGGGTCATGCAATCCTAATCAGCAGGTCATTTACCTGCCTGTGTTCGCTGTCGGTCTCGTTAAATGAAAAGCAAGGCCAGACAAATTTCCAGGCATTGTTTACATTGCCTCATTATTTAACCCAATTATTGTACAGATTAAGAGATTGTTGGACAGGGATTATCGAGAAGACAAGATCAGCTAATGATTCGAGCGAGTGAATCTTACAGCTGTCACTTACTTTGAACGTTGTTGTCTGTTATTGTCACACAAAGAGAGATAAAAAGGACAAATCCCTTGTTTAAACTAATATCAGATATTGAAAAAGCGTTAAAATAAATCTATATATAATATGTTATTTACCTCTTTCATAACTGGGGCGGTGGGGTAGCCTAGCGGTTGAAGCGTTTGCTTGTCACGCCGATGACCCGGGTTCGATTCCTCACATGGGTGCAATGTGTGCATCCCATTTCTGGTGTACCCCACCGTGATATTGCTGGAATATTGTTAAAAAGGCAATATCTGTGACGTTTGTATAAGTGAAACGTATTTCTACTCAGTAAAATATTCAAAAGTTCAAGTAAGAGACTCCAAGGATTAATTACATTCGGATCTTTCTTATCTTATTCTATTTTTGAAAATGGCAAGTTTTTTTATTAAATGTATATCAATAATTCTCAAGCAAATATTAAAATTGTATAAGTGTCTTTATACCAATAAACATGATTGTTGTATTGCCGAATTGGTGTCACCCGTCACAAAAGCGAATTTCATAATTTAAACAGGACTGTCATGTAACTGGCTTGGTGCGGCATCACACAACATTCAGTCATTTGTTGCTGCTGTTAAAACCGATCACCTAATTTGTACCACTTACCTGTGAATTTGTAATTTATTCACAACTTCTGTATGAGCACAATGCTGGACTAAGACGTGTCAAATTAATCGTATTTCCCGTTAGACGCAGATTGGTCGCAGATTGTGTGTACACTTTATATCAACAAGTCACATATCTTGTAATCAGCGAAACACATTCCTCTTAAACAACATATGTCTTTACTATCTCAAACAACAAAAAGATTATAAATTATCAGCACACGAGCAGTTGTTGGTTTGTCCCCGATCAAATATCTAACCTTTGAACTTCCTTCTCACTTTCTCTCTGACGTTACCGGCAATCAGCGGGTCACGTGACTCATGAATATTCATCTAGGTAACTATATAACTGAGGTTGATATTACGGTTTTACTTGTAATGTTTCGGTTGTGATATTCGAGGACTTGGCACTACTATACAAAGGTAAGGCAGACAAATATGTTTGACAGTTAGATGCGTTCATAATGTTTTCAACTCTTCTTCCATCCGTTCGAACGCCTGTTTCATTTACTTATGCATTAACCATATACATTGTAGGATGTGTTAAATGATATGAGACAAAATCTAGTTCTATGTGTTGATTTATAAACTTGTTTATATCTAAGTTTTTTTAAGACAAATGACAGGCATATACCGTTTTTATCTCTATCTTTAAGTGGCATAAAATTTACAGCATCATTGGACACAATGATGGATGATGGATTTTACCTTGATCATTTTTCTAGTGCCACGTTTTGGTATTGATGCGGCTTCTCTCATTAAGCATCTTTACTGGGGCGGTTAAGTAGCCCGGGTTCGATTCCCCATATGGGTACAATGTGTGAAGCCCATTTCTGGTGTCCCCCGCTGTCATATTGCTGGCTTATTGCTAAGCGGCGTAAAACTAAACTCACTCACTCTCTCTTTCTTTATTTTCTAATGATTACCATAATCATCATGCACTGAGACACATTGAATTGAATCAAATCTGTATGTTTATAAAACATATGCTTTCTTGCGCGCCAGGTGCCACTGCTATTAATTCAACGTTTTCATTGAATTCGTGTCATTTTCAACTCGGCATAAATGTAATCTGTTTCAATGGATGCTTGAGACCGTTGTTCCTCTTCGTTCCCGTTGTATATTTGATCAGTGCACTTAATACAATCACGCAGCTTACTGGGAGAGAGTCACGTTAACCTTTCCCCGTCAATACGATATATTTAGATTTTTAAAACCTTTTATCATTTATTATATATACCCTTGAAATAACATGAATGGGTTTAGTGAAAGAGGAATGTATTTATAGCAGTGAGCATATTGATTCCAGAAAATGCCAAACTCTGCAAATTCGAGTTTGACTACATGTCTTCTAATATTTATACCAGCTATATCTATATATACAAGTTTTCAAATTGATGTGTGCTTCTATGGCTAGAGAGGGTATTGTTCTTTGATGAACCCAAATCTTTCAACAATTCTCCCTGGAGCAAGTCTGTCGTAGTAATATATCTTGATGTTATTAAATACATTTGTTTTTATATACGTTACATATAGGTTTTGTTTGTTGTTTAACGCCACAGGCAGCAATATTCCAGCTATATGGCGAGATTCTGTGAATAACAGAGTCTGGATCAGACAATCTAGTGATCAACATCATGAGCATCGTCATTTACGATGACATGTGTCAACAAAGTCAGCGAGCCTCTTACGACAAGCATGTCAAATGACGTTTCGAAGTAGACACATGAATTGGTATTCTAAACAGCTCTTAACACAACTGATCGACAGACAGACATGCAGACAGTACACGATGCAGTACACGAGATGAATCAACTGATCGACAGACAGACATGCAGACAGTACACGATGCAGTACACGAGATGAATCAACTGATCGACAGACAGACATGCAGACAGTACACGATGCAGTACACGAGATGAATCAACTGATCGACAGACAGACATGCAGACAGTACACGATGCAGTACACGAGATGAATCAACTGATCGACAGACAGACATGCAGACAGTACACGATGCAGTACACGAGATGAATCAGCTGATCGACAGACAGACATGCAGACAGTACACAATGCAGTACACGAGATGAATCAACTGATCGACAGACAGACATGCAGACAGTACACGATGCAGTACACGAGATGAATCAACTGATCGACAGACAGATGTGCAGACAGTACACGATGCAGTACACGAGATGAATCAACTGATCGACAGACAGACATGCAGACAGTACACGATGCAGTACACGAGATGAATCAACTGATCGACAGACAGACATGCAGACAGTACACGATGCAGTACACGAGATGAATCAACTGAACAATACCTTGTGCCATCCTTTTGATTTTTCTTTTAAAAAGTCACATCATCCAGTGTCTTTGCATTACTGCCTCTATATTCACATTGTGTCGAAAACAATCTTATCAGCAACCATTGTTCAAATACCGTACGGCGCACCAACGTTTTGAAAATACTATCATTAACAGCGAAACAAACACCTTCAACCATGTGACTGTCATGGATCTCGGATATGAGTAAACTTGAAAGGCAAAGACGTCGACCTGAACCAACCGGCCCCGATTTAAACAATGTCTGTATCACTGTTATCGATTTCAGAAACATGCAGTGTCCGCGGTTTTTGCGAGCAGGGGCGAGAGCAAAGGGACAGGTGGAACTGATGGCTGGCAAGTCTAGCGCGTCAATCCCCAGCCTTATTGATGACACCCACATCCAGCCCTTCGAAGACATGCCAACACCGAGCGGCCCAAGAAACTGGCCGATTATCGGGGCTCTATTCAACTTTAAACCATTCAGTAAGTTTATATCTAGTATGTCTCACAGTCCCCGAACCACATTATTGTCCCTACTGCCAACCATCCCTGCAATGCTGAATCCATAAATGAAGCAAGCCTAGATTTCCCCAGGTTCGAATCTTACGGTATTACACGGGACATTGTTTAGTATACTCAGCGTATATTTTTAGCAGTGAAAGACACATCACCTGATGTCAGTGGCGACATGGCTGCATACATGCATTCATTTACGGCTGGGATAATCACTGTTACGTTACATTCCCGATCGTTACGTTACATTACGGTGTGGTAACCTAGTGGTTAAAGCGTTCGCTCGTCACGCCGAAGGCCCAGGTTCGATTCCCCACATGAGTACAATGCGTGAAACCAATTTCTGGTGTCCCCCGCCGTAGTATTGTGGAATATTGCCAAAAGCGGCGTAAAACCATACTCACTAACTAACATATGCTTGAGATCTGGCGTGATGCTGGCGTGGATGTCATTTTCAACGCCTTAAGAAGTCAACTTTTCTTCTGAAATTCCAGGTACGTCCTGTTGCTTCAGTATGGTACTAATCACCCTGCAAAGAAAATATCAAGATTACAGAAATTAATAAAAATATTCATTAATCTTGATTCTATAAAATATATTATGGAATAAAACATGGTCTACTCGCTTTGAATGATGAGGAACGTAACCACGGCGTTTCCACCAGTAAACGGGGCGATGGGGTAGCCCCGTGGTTAAAGCGTTCGCTCGTCACGCTGAAGATCCGGGTTAGATTCCCCACATGGGTAGAATGTGTGACGTCCATTTCTGGTGTCCCCGACGTGACATTGCTGGAATATTGCTAAAAGTGGCGTAAACATTACTCACTCACTCACTCCACCAGTAAACGTATTGTGTCAGTGTAACATATACATAGTTTGGTATCAGCGCAACCGGATGTATCCAATTTCACAAAGAACGCAGGTCGTCGTGATACAATTTCATGATTCCGTGACAAGAACCGCACTCACTCACCCGACAGCATGACATTGCCTCAGTATTCGGCCTTGACCGTGTTGTTTTCGTCTTGCCATGGGCCTTATGGTATGCGAGGCCTGGAGTTTGAATAGTTTAGATAATAACATAGACAAATACCTTGGAAATGTGGCTGGAACGTTGTCAAAGGTAAAGATGGCTCACTAACGGCGGTTATATGAAACATATGTCGCTGAATTTTGTATACGTCGTAAGTAGTTTTTAAAGTTTACTAAAGGCATTAGTGTCAGGAGAAAAGATGTTTGTTGATGGGACTGAATTGGAGTCAAGTGGGGGCAAGTGCCAAATGGCAGAATGGTCCGTCGAGGTCACTGGGTGCCCCTGAGGTTATAACGAAAGCAGATGGGTCATTGTAGATGATTGCGGAAGTTCCACAAAACTGATATATTCCTTATTCTAAACAACCTTCAAGGGCGAATATGTTTATGATATTTTTTAGTTCAAGGACGATCACAATAAACAGTATGTTGTTTCCTTTGCCAAAACCACCGGAGGAATAAATACCGAGGTATTTAATGACATTCAGATGGAGGACGACACAGTTATGTCTTGAACTCTCTGACCTTAAGTATGTCTGTGTTTTGTGTCGCAGACATATTTCAACTTATCATGGCAGCCTGTAAACAATCTGGAGTGGGTAAGGCAACCCAGTGGTCGATAGTATGAGCACCATACCTCCACCTAACTTTGCTGTTTTGAGGCAACACTGCCAGTCAAAATGGTTTGTGCAAAATCAAATAAATACTTATTCAAATTCAAGGAATACAACTGTCTAAAACAGGTAGAGATAGAAGATAACTCTTACAAGTTCTGGGTCTGTAAAGCCCACGGGAAGAGAGACGGTAAACAGATTTCCTGAGCCTTTTGGGTTTTTTCCACTAAATGACGGAGCAGTCTGAGATAGCATGTTGTTACACGGACCACCATTAACCGGGTCATACCAATATTGTAACAACAACCATGGGTCATTAATCCAAGGGGGGTAAGTCATGTCAACTGCAGACCGCTAGACTTTCGGGATTCAAAACGGTACTCGGTATTGTGCGTTGAAGCTATCACTGCTCTGCGATAATCTTTTCATTATGTGTACGAATACATTGGCAGCATTTATATCTGTTGTTATAATGAAGTTGTTGTTTATGTGTTTTGAAATACATAGTTTTCTCTATACAGTAGAATACCATTGAAGATTAACATGTAAATGACTGAGTTATATTTTATGACGCAGTACAGACAGCGAATGGGACAGACAGCGTTGCTGAGTCGAACACACATGTCCTTTTCGGAAAATGTGTAGACTCCCTAACACTGCAGCATTCTGCATTACCCAGAGTGTCGGAGGGCTTGTGCTCCTGGTAGATTGGTTGGCTGGTTGGTTGGTTGCTGCTTAACGCCGCACTCAACAATATCCCAGCTATATGTCGACGGTCTGTAAATAATCGAGTCCGGACCAGACAACCCAGTGATCAACAACATGAACATCAATCTACGCAACTGGGATACGGTCTCATGTGTCAACCAAGTCAGTGAGCCTGACATCCCGATCCCGTTAGTCGCCTCGTACGACAAGCATGGGTTGCTGAAGATCAATTTCTAACCCGGATCATCACTCGTCATCCTGGTAGAGAACCCGGGAACTATTATAATCATTATCAATAGTGTCATCATCATCATCATTATTATACACCAATGTATATTTCTTGTTTTGTTGCAGCGGACTACACTGGCGTGACGATACACCGTCTTCTTGGACAGCTCCACGATGAACTAGGGGAAACATTCCGTATTCGTCTGGGCAAGTGGTACGTTTGTACCGCAGACCCTGAAGCCATGGAAACCATTATAAGACACGAGGAGAAGTATCCAGTTAGACCTTCCTTAGACCTTTATGAAACATACGTCAAAAGAGAAAACAGACCTGTCAACCTTGGAGTCTTGTAAGTTTTGGTTCATTTTGTATTTGCTTGTGTGTTCATCAACGCCACAAAATTCAAACTATCACAACTGTCAGTAATTAATTGCGTCTTGGAACGTATCTAGTGATTGATGGCATGATCACCTCCCCACAAACCTTTGGGATACGACTACACCTTAATAAGTATGACCGTCAGATTCTTATCTATGGATCCGGGTTAGAATTAGTCTTCAGAAGCCCATGCTTGTCGTAAGAGGCGACAAACGGGATAGATTGGATAGGCTTGATGACTTGGTTGATGCATGTCATTGTATCCCAACAGCTTAAATCGATGCTCATGCTGTTGATCACTGGGTTGTCTGGCCCAATAGCTTGAACATGCTGAGTGTGGCGTTAAACAACAACCAAACCAATCTATGGTCTCTTTTGAAACGCGTGAGGTGTTGATGTCAGATTAGTTCTTGGTATCACCACGTAATTCTTGTATCTTATTATTCAAAAACATGTTAAAAAAGAAATATGTTAAGAATTATGTCATTTACTTGCAGGGTAATGCGTAACCAAACAGGGAAATATGGCATTTGTGTTTAGTAATTCCATGTTTGTATTACCGAGATTGTTTGTGAATGAAGAATGTTTGGTGTCGGGTAAGCTCATCCTATCTGAAACTGTTTATTCTCCTATCTACAGAAATGGTAAAGAATGGTGGCAGCTCCGGAAACGGGTTCAGAAGAAGTTGTTGCCTCCTCGGTCAGCCCTGCATTACCTCCCCGTACAGAACAAGGTCACGGACGAGTTCATCTCTCTTCTCAAGTCCAAGCCTCTGTCGGCGCACGAGCTGAGAGAAACATATTTCAGATTTGCCGTAGAGGGTAAGTACCTAACCCAGACATCGGAATACACGTGAAAACAGATAACTGCCATTTTCAAACAAAATTCCCACTGAGAAAAAAACCCTATATTTTCCGCCGAGATTGGTTTGTTTTCATCAATGTGAAATAGTCATGTTGCAAAACAGACACGAAAAACAAAAATGGAAAACGAAAGCAGATAACTGCCTCTTCCAAAATGTTTCATTACTAGATTTCCGAAAACAAGCCTGTATGTTCTTCCGAAACACGTTTGAATTCATTAAGGTGATTTATTCATATTGCTGTACAGACAAAGAGCTGTATTACATGATGTGCTTTGCATCTGTACCTGTTCAACAGGAATAGTTACTCGACTATCCTTAACACATACACAAGGGCAGATAACTCAGTTTATTTCCGTCTTCTACACCACAGCGTAAGGACACAGCATTTTGCGTAAAAAAATAAGTATCTGGACTTTTGATTCAAACATTAAACAATATTACGGACAATCTGTAAATGTGTATTTCAAATAGGATATTTCATTCATTCAGTATTTTCTCAATTAGCATATTTAGTAATAGTTTCTTGGCGTCGGGGTAGCCTAGTGGCCAAAGCGTTCGCTCGTCACGCCGAAGACCTGGGTTCGATTCCCACATGGGTAAATGAAGCCCATTTCTGGTGTCCCCTGCGTGATATTGCTAGAATATCAGCTAAAAACTGCGTAAAAACAAATCAATCCATTCACTAATAATAGTTTCCTTTTGTATATTTTCAGCTATATCAGTCGTTGTGTTTAACAAACGGATGGGCTTCCTGTCTCAAGACACCATTCCTCAAGACTGTGAGGAGTATCTCGCTGCTGTTAAAGAATTCTTTGCTGTGTTTAACACTTTCATCGGCAAGGCGCCATTGTACAGATTCTTCCGGACGCCGATGTATATGAGGATGAAGAGAGCAGCCGATAAAGCATATGAGTGAGTTAATGTCTTTTTACGCCGCAATCCAAAACTCAAGATATATCAGGAGCTTAAGAAAGCCAGGCAAATCAGTGGCTGAAGTCATGAGCAACGGACACCCAATCAACATATTTGGGGCCTGACCAGACCAGTAAACGAAGCACGCCATTTAAATAAGACAGTGAAATATGAAATACGCAGCAAATTTGGGTTTTATATCACTGTCACGCCAAATACTGTAGAATCGAGTTATAATACATATTTTGGGTTGGTTCAGAGGTAACCGTCGAGCTGTACCCAAAAGCCTAAAAACCTTAAGTAACACGTGTCATACCACCGTGGAATTCTCTGTCTGCCTATGACTTCTATTTAATACCCGTGAGAGGAGAAATACCAATTAAATAACCCGCCGGTTGGGAATAAACAGCGCTTGGTCTAGGCGATCGATTGCTACCTTTCATGCAACGTGAGTACGTATCAGGTTCGTGCAGGCTGAGGACAATCCATGCATAGTATAGTGCTGGGTCGTTGTCCTGAAATGTCAGTGTGACTTGGAAAGTACATGAAGCATTTGAACTATCTTTGCACTTGAATTCAACCTACGAACGCGCATTATATCTCCCTCAAGTGTTCCTTGCGAATTCAAACACGTGTATTTGTAATCGGAACACGCTCACTGAAATGTTTTGTGATAAAAAATTTAAAATGAAGCCCCTGGGAAAACGTGTTTGCCGTACGTTGCTTCTGGCAATGAAATATTTACAGTCGTTGTTTTACTGTAGACAATGCACCCATCTGCAAATCTTGGATGGATGCAAAAACTGAATGACTGAGTGTGGTTTTACGCCGCCTTTATCAGTGTCCATGTGTGGATTGCATATCACGGTGTGGGGACAACAGCAATGGGTTCCAACTGGCACAAATACGGGGTATTGAACCCAGGCAATATCTATTTAATAAATCAAATTAACAAACTTTATTTTTCATTTGGGAAGCTATTTGCCTCTTGGAAATACTCAGACCATGTGGCGTTTGGTGTTTAACGCTGCCCTCGGCAATATTTGAGCTATATGACCTCGGGTTTGTAATGATCGAGTCTGGACCAGACAATCCAATGACTGACAACATTAGCATCTATCTTTGCAATGCATCGGGATACGATGACATGTGTCAACCAAAGCCGCGAGCCTGACAACGATCCCTTTAGTGGTCGCCTCCAATCGTGGGTTACTGCAGATCGATTCTGACACGGATCTTCATTAGCCGTATAGAACGGCCTGATTTTGTATATCACACAACTTCAAACCGATGTTGATATTTTCAGGTTTTCCAGCAAGGCTGCGACAGAAGCCATCGAACGAGGTCTGGAGTTGGAGAAGGCTGGGAAATGGGACCCAGGAGAAGCCAACTTTATTCTGTCGCTGTTCGCGTCGGGATCTCAGAGTGTGGACGAGATCAGCTCGGTTATGCAGGATCTCATGGTGGGAGGCACGGACTCGGTAAGGGAGATTACTCTTGATAGACCTCACTCACTCACTCACTCACTCACTCACTTCCAGCGCTATCACTCACTTCCTCACTCACTGACTCACTCACTGACTCACTCACTCACTTCCAACGCTATCACTCAAACACTCACTCGGGGCGGTGGGGTAGCCTAGTGGTTAAAGCGGTCGCTCGTCAGGCCGAGAACCCTGGTTCGATTCCCCACGTGGGGACACTGTGTGAAGCCCATTTCAGGTGTCCCCAGAATATTGCGGATTATTGCTAAAAGCGGCGTAAAACTAAACTCACTCACTTCCAACGCCATCAGTCAAACACTCACTCATTCAACGTTATCACTATTATACCAAGCCATAACTTCGTACAAAGTGAAAGTACAGACCATAGGCCGCCATGTTAAAGGAGTTCTCGACACTGTACATATGTTGATTAACTTGTTTCCATTCGATAAATAAGCAACAGAAATTATGTGATTGTAGGTAAGATGATTCCTCACAAATGTGCTAAATTTGACTTGGATCTTAGGAAAATTAAATTCATCAACATTATTTATGCTGCACTAAATTAACAAGTAAGTCAAGTGTCCGAATATAACTGGCAAGGTTCTGTATGTTAATTTAAGAAGTGGTGTGCTGCTGACAAGTCACGCATCATAATTGGGTTGAATCTGAATTTGATCACACGAACACGGGCCACAGCAATAGGTCTTTGCCAGTTGAGCAGTCATAATTGGTAGAATAATTCAATTGAAGTCATATTCTGAAACATGGCGTATACTCCGCCCTCTCATTTCCTTTGTGTCTGAAGGGCGATGGGGTAGTCAGGTGGTTAAAGCGTTGGCTCGTCACGCCGAAGACCCGGGTTCGATTCCCCACATGGGTACAATGTGTGAAGCCCATTTCTGGTTTACCACGCCGTGATATTGCTGGAATATTGCTAAAAACGGGGTAAAACTAAACCCACTCACTCACTTTGTGTCTGAAGGATTTACTCGTCCCCTGTACATGTGTACAGTATGTCTGTGTAATACTGTGAGAGAAACAATTGTTGTATAACTACAATAAATAATTATCTCTAAACTTCCTCTTTCACCGTCTTCAATGCACAATGGAATTTGTTTCAACTGACTTTTTACATGATTTGATTGTTATAATGAATCATGTTTTTAATTTTTGAAATCGTCTTTTCCAGACTGCCAAAAATCTCGAGTTCTTCCTGTATGCACTAGCGAGCAATCCTGAAGTCCAGGACAAGCTGCACGCGGAGGTCATGAAGGAGGTTGGCCCTACGGCGCCACTGACGGAGGAGGCGCTGTCAAATATGCCGTACCTGAAGGCGTGTCAGAAGGAGGGGTTCAGGTATGAACACAATTTTGACAACATTTCGCCTTTTACGCCAAATAAAATTTGTTTCTGTGGAAATCGAGACTGAATATTCTCTCGCGTTGACCTTTTGATTTAATATTCTCAAAAAATGTTATTGTGTTTTCTGGGCAGTGAAATCTCTTTCATTCGAACCAGTTTGTGTAGCGATTATGAGAAAGAATATTGCTGTTACCTTGTCTTAAAGGAAAATCGAGTTAAAGCGTCCCAATTAACAAAGTTTAGCCTCCTATAAATAACCGAAGGATAGACTTTGTTTGGTCTAGTGATTTCCAAGTGCAAAGTTTAACAAAGCGTAAAGTATCTTATAATGTGATATTTATTCCGGAGCGGTGATGGTTCAATGTCTTTATGTGTTAAAGTAATTATTTGGGATAGGATGGTGGGCTGAGATTTTTGTGGGTTTTCTTTCTTTCTTTCGGTTATTAACGCCGCGCTCAGCAATATTCCAGCTATGTGGCGGCGGTCTAAATAATCGAGTCTGGTCCAGACAATCCACAGCGTGAGTATTGATCTACGTAACTGGGATACGATGACATGTGTTGACCAAGTCAGCGAGCCTACCACCCGATCCCGTTAGTCGCCTCTTACGGCAAGCTTGGGTTACTAGAAGACCAGTTTTAACGGAATTACTTGTATTTCAGGATGCGTTATCCGGTACCAACAGGGACTGCCCGCATATTACAAAATGGACTGAATCTCAACGGGTACTACATACCCAAAGACGTATGTTTTTTTCATCTTTAGTCTGCCGAGCACTTGCAAGTGAACGTGTACCCTTTGTGTGATGGTGGTCATGCGCCCTATTTTGATGGTGGCAATGCGCCCTTGTTTGATAATGGCCAAACACCTCACTAACTCCACTAAATGTGATAGAAATCTAATCCTGACGTCATTTCCTGTACACGACGGAAAGAATGACGGGTACCACGTGACCTGAAATAGCCATAAGCAATCTTCATAATCAAGATGCTTACACAGCAAAATATCTAAGGGCATGTGAATTATACCCAGCTTCACCAGATGAAAAGCAAATTACAACTAGATTAGTTTCACGGTTAATTAAAGTGATGACGTCGATTCATATTCGCGTGCATAGATGGCTCCGTCATCTAAGCCCCTGTTGGGTAGAGTTGCCTCCCTTGCGCACGCTAGAAATTCGAGATTGTGGGTTCGAATCCAGTTCACCTCCATAATGTTCTGAGGTTTGTCAGCACTCAGAGGTACAGATAAGCTGCGTATCTACGTATATTATTTATGTGAAAACTCAATTTCTATTAAGTCTCTTAAATACTCAATAAATATGATCTAACATGCGTACACACATAAATGTGATGCTGGTTACTGAGGATAGATAAAATAACTGAGGTATATTGAGAGATTCTATTTCAGCACATGAACTTGGCAACTTGCAGTCTTCCTTATCGTTTCTCATATTACAGATCAAATACAACTTTATTATATTTTTACAATTAATGGGAAATGACAAAATACCCAATTGAGTTTGAGTATGGTGGGTACAATTTATTAGGTTACTCAAAGGAAAATTAGGATACCCAGTTGAGATGAACACAAGCGGGTACATAACTCAATGAGCTCTGTAGCTCTGCAGCACCATACCCGTGTCCGTGTTGTTTAACCAGTGGACGCCGCTTCGGGAGTTTCTCCCACATTAAACAGACACGCGTGGTGTGACTGATATACTGTTCAAAGGGACGTTCACCGAAATCACTGACTCAATCTGTGTAGGTCAGGTCACCAGCACCTTGTTATCTGTTCAACAGGTTGGGCCCTTTACATTTGCACTATAAGGATTAAAAACGTAAAAAGAAATATTTTCACCAGATAATCCAAAAGACAAGGAAAGCAAACGGCCGCTTGGCCCTTGCACACAAAATGTGGGTCACGGGTTAATGCAGTTGTCGATATCTGTATGTAGGTCAGGTCATCCACGCGTCGTTCTGTCCTCGGTCGCCACATCAGGTGTCAGGTCCCACAATCACAAATGCAGAAACATTTTTAACCCAGAAATCATATTTATCTGCACACAATCGCAACATCATCGAGCGCAGCTTTTGTTCTAATCTTTCTTTCGTATTGATCTGTAGACGTGTAGGAGATCAACGATTAACATATGTTGATTTGAAATGGTTTAGAGATAAGTTCTGAGTCTCATATAAAAGGGGGCGGTAGGAAAGCCCAGAGGTTATAGTGTTCGCTCGTCACGCCAAAAACCCGGATTCATTTCCACCTGTACAATATGTAAAACACATCTCCTCCTCTGTGATATTTCTGAAATATTGCTTAAAGCAAAGGAGTTACGTGACAGTAAACTGTTGTGGACATTACATAACGACATTCAGGTATGTTCGTAAAAGGACGAGCTGCCTTCAGTGAGTGAGATTAGTTTTACGCCGCACTCAGCAACATTCCACCTATGTGGCGGCTGTCTGTAAATAATCAAGTCTGGACCAGACAATCCAGTGATCAACCACATGAGCATCGATCTACACAATTGGGATACGATGACATGTGTCTACCAAGTCAGCGAGCCTGACCACCCGATCTCGTTAGTCGCCTCTTACCACAAGCATGGGTTACTGAAGATCAGTTCTAACCTGGATTTTCACGAGTTCGAGCTGCTTTGCTTTGATAAGGCGGTGAAATAAACAGGGTCAGTGACCTTTGGAAGATGGCCAATCGTCAGGCACTATATTTGTGTCAATAGAATCGTTTTGTAAAACTGGAACGTTTTCAAAATACCATTTTCAAAATATTTCTGCATCTCGCTACAAAAATAGGACGTAACCATAATTCGTTCAAACCATTTGATTATATGCATACCAGTTTTAGATAGTAACGACAAGCTCTTAAGGAGCATGAGATACTCAACGAAACGAAATATAACCCTGTAGGACACCACGTTCTATTTTTAAATGTTTGTTTCGTAACTTATCGGTTAGTATTATCTTGCGTGCTTGCGATTCCTACATGTGTGACACACCGAAACACATTCCAGGTGCAATCGCCTTGCTGATAATGCGAAAGTGGACAGCTGAAGTGTCGTGTCACTTATGTGCTGTAAACTTTGTTTCTGAAATCAGAACTTCTTCATCAGTCACGATTAGTGAATACACATTTTGCTGAGAACAAAAGACACCTCCGTCTTTTAACCTTCTACATTGAGCCCAAAATTCCATATTTAACCTTGGACCAAACAATATTGTCCAGAATAAAAAATCCTCATTTTGCCTAAACCCAAAATAACTTCCCGTTTTCACCTTTTTACCTTGAACCAAGCATTCCCCATGTTTCCTAGAAGACAAATACACACCCTTAATGTCCAGAACAAAAACATCCTCATTTTGCCTAAATCAAAAGGAATTCTCCCGTTTTCACCTTTTAACCTACAACCAAAAACTATAAAGCGTCGAATAGCACTCCTAGCTGCGGGGAATGGTGGAGTAGCTTAATACTAATTTATTTTTGGGTTTAATCGAATCCGGCATTCGAACCCTTACTGCCAACACACACTCAGTCTGAGTGAGTATAGTTTTACACCGCTTTTAGCAATATTCCAGCAATATCACAGCGGGGGACTCCAGAAATGGGCTTTGCACATTGTGCCCATGTGGGGAATCGAACCCGGGCCTCCGGCGTGACGAGAGACCGCCTGAAACCACTAGCCTACCCCACCGCCCCTCTAACCATAGAGGACAACAGGAAAGATATAGTGCAGCAAGCGACAGTGTATCACTGGTGCTTTTGACATAATTGCAGTGACATTTGAATGTGGGGCAGGTCATCCACGCGTCGTGTTGTCCTCGGGCGACCCCGACAAGTGTCGGTTCCCACAGCACTCCGGTCCTCGGATCAGGACACAAGAAGAATGCTGATTATTGTGTTACATCATTGTTTATACCGAACCAGAGAACAAACTTATACGTTATCAGATCCGTCAAAATACTGTGATTGTAATTGTTAAGAGTGGGTTAATATTTAACGCCACAACGGCACTATCTCAGCCACAACGTGACGTCCATTGTATTGTTATATTTCAGGCCCGAAATATAGAAATAAGGTTGTAGTCTGTATTTCACGGTATAAGAATTTAGTAGCGCTTATTTTCAACGACAATGCCTTTTAATTTGAGACATCTGCTCATTTATAACAACAGCACGCGAACCCGTAGTTCAACGAGCAGAGTTGCTTCCCTTGGCCGTACCAGGATCCAGTGATCTTGTGCTCGCATCTCAGATTTGCGGTGATTATGATTCATGATTCGTTAGTGATATCCACGTGTCAAGCACCAGAATCCGGCTTCCCATATTGCGTCAAGATGCCGTAACTGAAACGTGTGTTGTTTCCCTCACTCACTCACTCACTCACTCACTTGCATGTTGCGTCAATGTCGAATTTATATTCACAGACAATCATCATTATGAACAACCCACGTCTTCTGAAGAACCCAGAATATGTGAAGGATCCCGAGAAGTATCAACCAGAACGATGGCTAAGGAATAATTCGGGTCAGCTGACGAATAACATACCTGGTGTGGGCCTTCTACCCTTCAGTTTCGGACCCCGAAAATGTGTAGGACAGAGATTTGCTGAACAGGAATTAAATCTTGCTGCTGTTAAGGTACGTAATTCATTTCTACTGGTAAATATTTCATAGGGGGAAATATACTTAAAGCACGTGAAATACACTAAACCGTAAACGCCAAAAGAAACGTTACCCTCCTTCCTTAATGACGGAGGTACCTATCTTCAGCTGGCGTTGTGATGCGTGGACGTCCACTTCTTGGTCTGTCTACGGTGACCCCAGTCTGTCTGTAGCGCTGAATAAGTCTAATAACCGTGATACGGTGGCATCCGAGGGCGTTGGCAACAGCATTGTACGTCGACCCCCATCTGCACCACTCCAATGGCCCTTTGTCTCGTTTTAGCTGTTAATCGTGGCATTTCTCTCGTACTTGTGTATCATATCATGCATTCTAATCTCTCTTTATACCCTATAGAATCCTTCTACACGTGAAATTGATGCAAATACTGCTTGAATATTGCTACGTTTTGGCAACTGATATTGCTATGTGTAAACAGAAAATGGAAATATGTTACTTTTCAGGCAGAAATGTTAACAAGGATAAGTTGAGGTGTTCCTAAACACGTTTTCACAATATCAAAGACACATTTAACTTGTTTTCACTAATGCAAATCAGCAGAAAATGTTTTGAAAGACTGAAATCATAGGAAGGATTCTTTTACAATTTTACACACTCTACAACAGTTGTTTCTTGTTTTAATAGTTGCAAAATGGTGACTTTAAATGGTTTATCATTGTCCCAAAGCAGAATTTTATTTCAACCTTTCTTTTGGTCATTTAAATCACTGTTATTGTTAAGATAAGATACGATAAGAGATAACATAATACACACTATGTCGAAGGAAATTTTGGCTACAGCGTAAAACACATGAGACAGAACAAAACAAGGAATCGCAACATCTGTTTCATTTCGGCATGGTCGAAAAATAGTCAAAAACAGGACAATTTAAACTCATCTGAAAAAGATGCATTGCACCTAAATATGGATGCATTTGAGAAGTGTTTTTTCGTGAATTGCATAAAGCTGTGTTGTTAAGCTTTCTTGTAAACTAATACCTTCTAACATATCTTTGGTAGTTTTTAAGCAATTCATAATGGTAGGAGGGTAACGTATCTTTTTTTCTTTAACTATTTTTCAAGGGCACTGAAGCCCACCTATTCAATAACAAGAACGAACTGTTAACTTTCCACCAATTAATTACTCAAAGAATAGAAAAGGTAACCTGTACTGTCATGCCTTATCACAAATACCTTTCAAATGATACGCTATCATCGAGGCCATTGTAAAACATGTATGGAAACCCTACAACCGTATGATTGTCACGATTATACAGCGAGGGGCACAAGAATAGAGATTATGACGTTCAGGATGAACTCTCGATGCACTATATGGGGGAAGCTGTGCATCTCCAGACAACACAGTAACAGGCGGGCTATAAACCATCACTGTGCAGACATTGGATAACGTATTGTCTGTGCGACCGGAAATTATTTTACACATAATTCATTATGTCAGTTTAGGGAGTATATATTTTGAAAACATAAAAGAGAATTGTTTTACCAGTCTTTCAGAAATGGTGGACTGGTTTATCAGTCATAGAAACAGAAGATATCTGACAGTTTCATTATACACAACAACCAAATCCAAACATTGTTTATTGTTTTATTGCTATATTATTGGTCGTGGCTAGGCGAAGTATATGTTCTTCAGCAGACAAATTCATGCATAATGTCCACAAGATCACACGTTAATTGGATGACCTTTATTCCATTTCATAACGCAGGTTTAATATCGTAACAGCTAAATGTCAATAACATTTTATTGGGAAAAAATAATTCCAGGTAAATTTTCATATTCACCATTAAGCTTGCAAATAATTTACCATGAGAGATCAATCAAATTTGTTGATGGCTCAAATTTTCATTTTCAACAGCCGTGTTTCGTGTTCATATTTTAGATATCGTCATCCCGTTGTCATTTATGTTTCTGAATAGGCAATGTTGTTTCTCTGTACATATTATCATGTAAATTTTAAAGCAAAACTGGCATTAATATGCAAAAAAAATCCAATGAGAACAAAAAACATAAACATGTATGTGGTGGCCGATGACACACCTGTTGGGAACATCTCGTCATAATTTCTTAAATAATATAACACAATTGCATTTAAAATACAAGATAGCACTGAAGTTGTACACCAGTACTAATATAACTCGACATTGTAATATGGGTTAAACTGAAAACCTTAACCATAAAATGTTTCTCCTGTAGGCTGGAAAATTTGATTGTTTTCTGTTTTGTTTCGCTTTGTTTGGGTTTGTTTTAACTTTAATGGCCTGCTTAAGTCATTTAATTCATATTTTTTTAATCATTTGTAGTGATTGTCACTGTCAGCAAATGACACTGTTGTGGCAAGATACAATGTTATACAACTTCCTTAACCCTTGCAAGGATGGACTCGTCAGGGATTCCAAACCAAGATTTGCCCAGCACGATGAACGTTATGCATCATACCTGTACCATTCTCTAAGCTAAACGGCCGTGATATAACTTAAATACTGTTCAATGCGGTACACAAGCCTAAATCGTTCACAAAGTACAAGATTACAAGTTTCCATTTTCAATTCCAGGTGCTTCAGAACTTCAAGATCTCACTGCCAGAAGGTTTCGAAGAGCCAGACATCATTTATGAAGTTTTTGGGACATTTTCGAAACCAATCCCTTTCATCTTCACACCCCGAGAAAATGTCGAAAGTTAAACTGTCCTCCTAGTGCTCTGGATACGATGTTCAGCAAACGCCAAGATGATCATGTGTTGACCTGACGTCTTACAAAGACTATGGAAGAGGTTGGAATGTGTCCACGACAAAAACACCGTATGTTATGCAAATACAATGACTGATGTATTCATTGCGAACATCTAATCGTTGTGACTAACAAATCCTACATAATCCTCTGTTAATGTCAATAGCCCTTCGATTTACGGTGAAGCAACTAAATGTGCTAGGGACACGTTGTCAGTGGCAACAGTGGTGTCATTCTGCCTTCGTCCACTGGATGACTAACCCATGATGATACTGTCCAAGAATCAACAAGGTATCATGTTTTTATCCACTGGCCAACTCCACCATAATGGTTGTGTCAAAGAATCGAAATGACATTCACCCACTATCAAACTTGACCATCATGGTAACGTCCAAGCATCAACATGATATCCACTCACTGTCTGACTCAGTCATGATAGTATCATCCAAGCATGAAAATTTAAGTATTTGACCATTCACCAACTGGCCATAAATGTCCAGGAATCATCTTGACATTCACCCTCTGGTCGAGTCAGCCATGATGGTAATATCCAAACATGGATATGATATGATACTGGTTTAACCCACCAGCCTAATCACAAAAACGAAAATATGGACTCTCCAAGGTGGAATATATTTTTGAGTATTGCCATTCTGTTGTTGTAAGAGACAAGATGCTACCAAGCCGACGTTGGCCGCGAAGTTCCCTTGTTGTCTATTTCCCGTAGAGGAATAAGACTTACTATAGTGCTAAAATACGTTAAGGACAACCCAATTCATCCTCATCAGCATAACTAATCTGATATGCCAGGACAGATTCTGTACAATAATATGAAATATTCTGGAAGACCAAAACTTTTTGAAAGCTTTTAGTAGTTTTCCAAGACATTATTACAATGACATATTGTTTCTTTTTACTGACGAAAGAACGGCATTTGTGAACAAACCCGATAATATCTCTTTATAAGAGAAACATATGAAATATGTTTGAATGTACATATCAGATGTCTGAAATCATGGGTAATTGTAAGTAACCTGTAGACGTTGTACAGCACTCTGTAGACCACGCTGGCGTGCCTAAATCGATGAACACGTGTGATCTGAAATTTCAGTACAAAACACACTCATCTGCTGGTCAAATGTAATGTGTAAATACTGATATGATATTTCCTGATATATGTCAAATGTCATGTGTAAATACTGATATGATATTTACTGATATATGTCAAATGTCGTGTGTAAATACTGATATGATATGTATGTCAAATTTTATGTGTAAATACTGATCAGATATTTACTGATGTCTGTCGCCAACATGGCTTGTTAGCAATGCTAATATAATGTAATATAACATGTAAAGCGAGCATGCGATATATCAACTGACGAACAAAAGAAAGTACACACCTGGTGCTTTTGGATTACTTTCCAAAGAGCGACGTAAATGTTTTGAAAAGAGTTTTTACAGTGATATATAAGTCACAGACTTTCCTAATATGTTGCCATACCGTGCCCAATTGCGAAGTTGCCAGTCAAAATCTCAACACTTTTCAAATAATCCCAAAACACCAGGTGTATACTTTCTTTTGTACGTCAGTTTATATACGATAAACTGAGCTATTTACGGTAAAGTACTTACTCCACAGGTGTTGCCCCGCCAATTTGTAATTTATACTTGAACTTGTATGCACTAATAAATACATATAATGACGGTTGTGTCATATTACTTCTTAGACGCATTGTTCGGATGAGTAATGAATTATACACATGGAAATAAATATTGCAACAACGCCTATTTTGCATATTGTGACAAAGAAACATCCAAATATAGAACCTCGCTGCCAGGAATAGCCAGTCTTGTTTATCCTGACAAATTTATTTAGTTTATAAAGTTATGTGAAAGGATCATTTAACATCAGTGATGACACCAGGTGTTCGTTACAAAAGTAACAATGGAGTATTTGGGGCCTGACGCTGCACATCAGTGTTCCTGCCAGACGAATACCAGCTGCGTGGCTGTTTAAATATCTCTACGGTCATAAGTGTTACACTAGTGTTAGAAATACATTGTCATATATATTTACGCACACACACAGGTAAAGATTCTCTGTAAATTACCCTTGTAGCGCTGTGTCGAGTAAACTGACAAGTCATGTACAAATAAAACTTGATATCTACCTTATAAGGGGTAAGATTCTGTCGAACGCAGTTCATGATACCTTCAAGTTCAAAATTAAAGCGAAATAATCGCCAAACAGCACTTTTTATGAAAACTCAACACAAATGGTCGACATAATACCAGCACAGAATGGAAAGCAGTCGGAAGGTACATAATTGGTGGTTAAACCATTGTTCTGATGAGAGCTGTTATAACTATATGTGAAATATTAGAATGTCTAGGAACAGCTAGCCTGGTACCCTGAACTTGATCCGTGAAAATCCGGGTCTTCAGCACCCAGGTTTGTCGTGAGAGGCGACTAACGGGATAGGGTGTTTTTTAGGCTTACTGACTTGGTTCACACATGTCACCGTATCCCAGTTGCGTAGAACGATTCTCATGCTGTTGATCACTGGATTGTCTGTGACTTGATCATTTACAGATCGCCGCCATATAGCTGACATAAACAACAAACAAACAAAAACCCGGTCCTTCGCCTCCTAACGAATTGCATAAGGTCTTTACGTCATGAACTCTTCTGTGAGTGGATTAAATTGTTTGTTTGTTGTTTAACCACCCGTTAGTCGCCTCTTACCACAATCATGGGTTGCTGAAGACCGATTCTAACTCGGATCTTTGCGGGTGTCTGTGGGTGGATTAATGAACGTGGTTACAGGCATGTATGTCATCATTACCATGTTTAAAGTCAATAGTTTCAGCATCATCGTTTCAGTTTTAGAGAATGTGAACTTAATTCAAATTAGTATAGCATACAACCTCTGAAGAATTCTCAGTCTCGATTCATCAAGGTATAAAAGGAAACAGAGCTGAATTTATTAAAATTATATTTTCCGGATTGAAATATGTCAGCTGGATTCCCAAATGAGTTGGCATTTCTAAAATTATCTTCATAATCTCATTCCTAAATATCCTTTTGACATTACTAATCCAGGGGACGTTACACAACTAGCGATTAATTTGCTTTAATTTAACTAGTTCACAAATTCATTTATATGCTAAAATACTGAAAGGAAATTGTGTTCCAAAGAATCTTTTCAAATGTCACATTGAAATGACAAAAATATAAATCAAAACCAAAAGAACAACGAATATTAATTTCCAGCTATTATCACTAGATTGAATTAAATGTGTATCACTACAATCTTGAATTTCATGTACTTTGTGGTCATATATAATACGTTGACTAAAATATTTGAAGTGTTTTCAAAGCATCTTCACCATGATGGAGAAGACTAGTCGGCTACTCTCCGACACGTGCACTTGGGTCTCGTGTCGACCTTTGTGCAGAGTAGATCTCAAGGTAATGAGTGAGTTGACGGTCGATTAATAATATTTCATAGCAATATAGCTTTGGAAGGTATCACTGATTGAAATCAATAGAAAAAAACATCCAAGATGAGAAGTGTTGCTGCGTGATCTATATTTTCACTCTGGAAACAGCCATACAAGGCAAGTGATGCTGAAAGGAGTGTCTGGCCTTGTCAAACGTTATTGTGACATAGACTTATTTATTGGTAATCTTGCGAATGCATTTCTGATTATGAACCGGAGGAAGATAGAGTGTATTAAGAAAGAACCTCAACCTGGCAGTTGTTGTTCGAATTGGGCGAAATTTGCAACAAGCATGATATATTCGAGAAAAATGACCTGCGATGTTCACCTTTCAGAAATACCAATTATAGCGACATTTTTACCAAAAACGACCTGACGCCAAACTGATGGATTCGAACCACGCACATCCGACACAAGTTCCATGCAGCCTCAAATCGCCCTCATCTCGCTCTTTTAAAGGTAGAAGCAGTCTTTTGGAACCTACGACATCGACGTGTCTTGAACAATGTCGTCAGTCCAGAAATGGATAGCTGAAAGCACCCTCCTTTATCGGGAAATAACGAAAGCGTCAAGCGCTTGGATAGAATTTAGACTGTAAACAACCACGGGAGGTCAAAAATCAGATACTGCCTTTTAACACAGAGTGTACATATTTAGAATTTGAAAGTTTATATCCATTTAACTCGGCAGTTCATGAGAATTGGAAGAGTTCCTTTTTAAACACTAAAACAGTTGGGAACGTTGTGCACCTATTTCTAGAGCAACAACTGTATACCCCGTCCTCGATGTACCGAGATGTTTACCATTTCTCAGGTCTTTTATGCACTCGAAATATATCGAACCCAAGTGTTTGTACCGTGATACACATTGTATCGAAACTATGGTGTATCATTGCAGCTCCAACCATCTCCATGGCAATCCATTCATTAATACATTCGATACTGTTCGATCTTCGATTTTCCAGTGTATCTATCTCCATTTTATTAAGTGAACATTCCCTGTAAGTGACTTCATATTCGAAGTCTCTCCATCAATAACCTGCTGATGACAGAAATACGATTTCACGTCCGTTTTAGTCATAAATTGAACTTTGTCAATTTTGTCTGGAGTTTGTTCAGGGAAAATATCCCAACATAATGGAAACACACTTTACCGGACTTGCAAGGATGATGTGATACTTAGAATCAATGTTCAATGTTCAGTTCAAACATATTATACATATGGCAAGATAATATACAAGATAAACAAGATAGGTATTTTTTTTTAAAGAATATATCCTTCAGTAAAAGTGAACAAGATAAGTTTTATAAAAAGTGGATGTAATTTCATGATTTTGCAAATTTTAAATGATTTTCTTAATTCTTTCGTCCTGTTCCCTAATGAAAAATATAGGCTGAATGAACTTGAACTTAAACTTACTGTAAATACTTGAAACTTGTAAGTGTGATTGGTGAGTGAATGTGTTGTGGTGCCTGGTGTTCCCTGGCTCTACGGCCTTTTCTGCAACAGGGAAAGCAGAAAATAAAAATTATCAATAATAAAAAAATATTTATACATATGATTGAGGCAACTATATCAGTTGAGCGTAGGCTTCTTTTACAGAAAATGACGCACAGCTATAGTATTAGACACATGTAAATGAGAGAGTGAGTGAGTATGATTTTACCGAGCTTTTAACAATATTCCAGCAATATCACAGAAGGGAACGCCAGGAATGGGCTTCACACTGTGTAACTGTTACAGTCAGATTGTGAAATCAGTCATTTCGTGAAATGACTAAACATTCCAGTCATTTCGTTAAATGACTAAGAGGATCAGCCATTTCGCTATTGGCTATATAAATAGGTTTGGACGTTTCCATCATATTTGGTGTAAATGAGCTTGACAACGAATGCCAATGTTCGTGATGCACGAAACAAATCGCCAAAACGCATTTTGTGGCCCCGACTCTCGGAAACACGAAACACATGTCTTAGTCGGATACATGGGAAAAATCAAGCGAAAAATCGTATAAATGGGGTGTCCAGCACTGCAATATCACTGCACATAAAGTCACACAGAGAGAATGCCAAGGTTAACCCAGGAAGAAAGGGAAGGAACAAGAACAGGTAAACAAGAACATGGTCACTATTAAAAGCCAAAAAGGTACCTATGGATGGCAACAATGTCAGCAGACCCGTGATGATGAACCGGTCTTCAGCAACCCTTCTTTGTCGTAAGAGGCGACTAACGGGATCGGGTGGTCACGCTCGCTGACTTGGTTGACACATGTCATGGTATCCCAAATATCGATGCTCATGCTGTTGATCACTGGATTGTCGGGTCCAAACTCGATTATGTACAGACCGCCACCGTATAGCTGTACTATTGCTGAGTGCGGCTTTAAAATAAACAAACAAACACAAATAGCAATGTCAGCCAAGCTGCTTTAATTATGATCTCTAAAAGTACAACGTCTACGTGCCATGGTCATTCACTTGATACGAACATTTGAAAAGTCACGTGAGCCGTGGGCGATACTCTTATATAAATGACGACTAGTAAACAGTTTTTCCTTTTAAAACAAGTGTTTATCAGTGCACGAGTGTTGGGTTCGGTTCACCTCCATATTAGACAATTGTTGAGTTGCGACACTATGTATCAGCGTAATGTGAGACCAAAGCAGGAAGCAATAGATGTTTATCGCATGGCAAAAACATAAGCACGGTATATGGGACAAAAGGATGGATCGTTATCTGGGCGTATTAGAAACCAGCTAGTGGCGTATCTTGACACTACAAAGGGGCGCAACTAGGTGACCTCCATACGTTGCGTAATAAGTGCCCATTTCCAATTATGTGCTACGTCACTGAACATGTGATTATGTGTACATTATTTGTACATTAACCAAGACAGTTTCTTCACGTAGGGGTAGTATGTGATGCCCCATCGGGTGTCCGTTGAAAATGTTTCCCCGGTCTATCTTGGTTTGAACGTAAACCGCACAGGTTTAGCGGGTTGGATGAAAGTATGGTATTCAATATCCGTCCCCGCATCGTCGTCGTCGACGATCACTTCGAAATTCTGGAGGATCTGGAATACCGAGAAACGGGGGCATTACAGACGGATGGGTTTGTTAAAGACAGATGGAGTGGGTGTTACAGACAGATGGAGTGGGTGTTACAGACAGATGGAGTGGGTGTTACAGACACGTATATGTTAAACACAGGTGGAGTGGGTGGTACAGACACGTATATGTTACACACAGATGGAGAGGGTGTTACAGACAGATGGAGTGGGTGTTACAGACATGTCTGTGTGGCAGACAGATTAAATGCTGATCGTGTTACAGCCAGTTATGTGTTACAGACAGAGTGTGTTACAGACGAATTAAGGGGGTGTTACAAATAGAGTAGGTGTGGGTGTTACACACAGATGGAGCGGCTGTTACAGACACGTATATGTTACACACAGGTGTAGTGGGTGTTTCAGACATGTATATGTTAAACACAGGTAGAGTGGGTGTTACAGAATCGTATATGTTACACACAGGTGGAGTGGGTGGTACAGACACGTATATGTTACACACAGGTGGTGTGGGTGTTACACACAGATGGAGCGGCTGTTACAGACACGTATATGTTAAACACAGGTGGAGTGGGTGTTGCAGACACGGATATGTTAAACACAGGTGAAGTGGGTGTTGCAGACACGTATATGTTAAACACAGGTGAAGTGGGTGTTGCAGACACGTATATGTTAAACATAGGTGGAGTGGGTGTTGCAGACACGTATATGTTAAACACAGTTGGAGTGGGTGTTGCAGACACGTATATGTTAAACACAGGTGGAGTGGGTGGTACAGACACGTATATGTTAAACATAGGTGGAGTGGGTGTTGCAGACACGGATATGTTAAACACAGGTGAAGTGGGTGTTGCAGACACGTATATGTTAAACACAGTTGGAGTGGGTGTTGCAGACACGCATATGTTAAACACAGGTGGAGTGGGTGTTACAGACACGTATATGTTAAACACAGATGGAGTGGGTGGTACAGACACGTATATGTTAAACACAGGTGGAGCGGGTGGTACAGACACGTATATGTTAAACACAGGTGGAGTGGGTGTTACAGACACACGTATATGTTAAACACAGGTGGATTGGGTGGTACAGACACGTATATGTTAAACACAGGTGGATTGGGTGGTACAGACACGTATATGTTACACACAGGTGGTGTCTGTGTTACACACAGATGGAGCGGCTGTTACAGACACGTATATGTTACACACAGATGGAGAGGGTGTTACAGACAGATGGAGTGGGTGTTACAGACACGTATATGTTAAACACAGGTGGATTGGGTGTTACAGACATGTATATGTTACACACAGATGGAGTGGGTGGTACAGACACGTTTATGTTAAACAGTGGTGGAGTGGGTGTTACAGACATGTATATGTTAAACACAGGTAGAGTGGGTTTTACAGACACGTATATGTTACACACAGGTGGTGTGGGTGTTACACACAGATGGGGCGGCTGTTACAGACACGTATATGTTACACACAGGTGGAGTGGGTGTTACAGACACGTATATGTTAAACACAGGTAGAGTGGGTGTTACAGACACGTATATGTTAAACACAGGTGGAGTGGGTGATACAGACTCGTATATGTTACACACAGGTGGAGTGGGTGTTACAGACACGTATATGTTACACACAGATGGAGTGGGTGTTACAGACACGTATATGTTACACACAGGTGGAGTGGGTGTTACAGACACGTATATGTTAAACACAGGTGGAGTGGGTGGTACAGACACGTATATGTTAAACACAGGTGGAGTGGGTGTTACAGACACGTATATGTTAAACACAGGTGGATTGGGTGTTACAGACACGTATATGTTAAACGCGTGTGGAGTGGGTGGTACAGACAAGTATAGGTTAAACACAGGTGGAGTGGGTGTTACAGACACGTATATGTTAAACACAGGTGGAGTGGGTTTTACAGACACGTATGTGTTAAGCACAGGTGGAGTGGGTGGTACAGACATGTATATGTTAAACACAGGTGGAGTGGGTTTTACAGACACGTATGTGTTAAGCACAGGTGGAGTGGGTGGTACAGACACATATCTGTTACACACAGTTGGAGTGGGTGGTACAGACACGTATATGTTAGACACATGTGGAGTGGGTGGTACAGACACGTATATGTTAAACACAGGCGGAGTGGGTTTTACAGACACGTATGTGTTAAGCACAGGTGGAGTGGGTGGTACAGACACATATCTGTTACACACAGTTGGAGTGGGTGGTACAGACACGTATATGTTAGACACATGTGGAGTGGTTGGTACAGACACGTATATGTTAAACACAGGTGGAGTGGGTGTTACATACCGACAAATGGAGCGGGTGTTACAGACAGATGGAGCGGGTGTTACAGACAAATGGAGCGGGTGTTTGTCATAGTGCCCATCAGAGCAAACAAACAATGGTGATCTACTAAAGAGTGTATATATTGCTTAATTTCGTTGTATTCATCATGAGGTACCGGCGTATCTCAGTTGTTTGTGGTGGGGTGGGGGCCGGGTTCAAAATAATCTGTGTTGTGAACCGATATTTCCAAACTTTCTTGCTATATATTACCAGGTATAGTCGGCATGTTTTACTCAGATTTATTTCGAAATGGTCTCAATGTTATGAGTGAGTGAGTGAGCTTGGTTTCATGCCGTTCACAGCAATATTCCAGCTATCACGGTGGGGGACACCAGAAATGGACTTCACACATTGTGCCCATGTGGGGCTTCGAACCCGGTCTTCAGCGTGACGAGCGAACACCTTAACCACTCAGCTACCCCACCGACCCCAAACTGTCATGAGCAGATATATCCAAACTTTCGAGGCTGATATCATCAGATATCGGTCGTATCGTAGAAATACATTGTCCGATATCTGTGTCATTAGCCCATATTTCCAATATTTCGTAGTGTATTGAACCATAAGTGACATATGTTAACTATAACGAGTACATGTACAGAAGTCGCTACACTTGGCACAGTAAGGATGTGAAAAATCAGAGCGCCAGAATTGAAAGGTCATTTCTCGCCGTCACCCAAAATGCCAACAGGGCAAAGACAACCTAAAAGCCAAAACGGGATCTACAGAAAATAATTACAACCTAAATCACAACCCCTCCATCTTACAACCCCTCCATCTTCGATTACCCCAAAGTGACACCCCCGATTTGGCACAGTGACCAATATATCTGTAAACATGAAAAAACCAATGACGTGAATGCATGAATCAATTGCAGTCATTCACAAAACCATCCCTACCTTCACCACTCCCAGCCAAATTTCCTGCAACGCAAATCTCCGGCCGAGGCAATTGCGTACACCGAATCCAAAGGGCAAGTTGGCAAATTTAGGAATATTACTGATGTATTTCCTGTGTTTATCCCTCTGCCACCGGTCTGGATCATAGCGTGCAGGGTTCTGGAAATATTCCTCGTCCATCAACAATCTCCGGTTGTTGCATAATACTGTGGTCTGAGAGAGAAAATGGCGGTTATGTACATTTACAGGGGAACCAATCGTATTTGAAAATGACAGGAATGGGTATAGTGTCAATCCAGATTTGTCAGAGAGATGTGAGACAGTAGGCGGAACTTGAAAAACATTTTAAACAGGAGATGCTGGTTATCTGTCTTAACTTGATCTGTTAGTGTCCCACGTCATGGGTTAAATCGCTGTAACTAATAGGTTATGGGAGGTCAATGATCTACCTATGAAGGAAAACCGTTTCGTGTCACAATTTTTGGACATGGTTACCAATGACGTATGAGATGTGTGGGTGGTTTTATATAGCAGGTGTATCTTATGACGGTATATTCACGTGCGAATGATGATGTATCTGGTAACTGATGACGTTACGTGCACGTGCGAGCGATGACGTTACGTACTTCTGCATATGATACACGCATGTGACGTTATACATTACGGACATGATGCACTTCAGTGAGTGAGTTTAGTTTTACGCCGCTTTTAGCAATATTCCAGCAATAAATGGGCTTCACACATTGTACCCATGTGGGGAATCGAACAGGGGTCTTCGGTGTGACAAGCGAACGCTCTAAATGGACACTGGTCTAGAGCAATTCCTAGTGACTGGTTGTTGCTTTTGTTATTGTGTTGTCTCCCGAGACTACTCGGATATACAAGAATTCCTGACTAGGTTGCGATCTCTGCTGCGCCACTTGCAAGCGCAACTGGTAGTATTAGGGCGTATCCTTCCATTGATCAACAAGCTTTAAAGTTTCGTCTTGGAATTAATTGGAAATGTAGTCATCTTTTGTACCAATTAATATCAATTAATATAATATTGAAACCTTTTTGAAGTTTAACTTATCTGCCAATGGTACAAAATGTTTGGATTGAAAAATAACGAAGTCAATGTACGTGTTTATATTTTTGCCTTATAATCCTTGCATAATTAATTTATCATTATATTTTTATGCACTTTGAAACTTCATAAAACTTTATGAAACGTACACGATCTGTGTTTCAGTGAATTTATAAAATGACTGTAATATATATCGAGACAATTTATAGATTAATATTTATATGACACACACGCCCTAAATGCGACCTAGTTAGTGCATGTCTGTCTCGAATCGAAAAATTTCACGGCGAAAAACAATGAAGTGGAATGAGTTTTGTTGCTACAACATATGAATAAAACAAAATACAAATATCAAATCACCAAAAGAGACCTTTGATGAAATGAAAGCAACCTATGGGGAGGATGCCCCATCGTATGACGTAGTTAAACACTGGCATCGCCAGTTGAAATGTGGTCGGAAATCTGTGGAAACTGCTCCATTCCTGGTCGACCTCTTTCAGCCATTGATGAAGACACTGTCCGTCAAGTGGAGACTGCCATTTTGGAAGATTGCCGTATAACTGTTCGCCAGTTAGCACATGATGTCAAGTTCTGTGTAGGGTCTGTGGTAAAAATCATTCATGACAATTTGTACATTCATAAGGTGTCTGCACGATGGATTCCTAGGCTGCTCACATTTTTCAGAAGCAGGATCGAGTCAGTTGCTCAAAGGCTCTTTTGGACAAGTACCAAAAAAACAGGCAAACATTTTCGACAGGCTTATCACACACCATGCACCATCTGACTTCCATATCTTTCCAACTATGAAGTCATTTTTGAAAGTAACACGCTTCCCAGATGATGAAACACTGATTTCGGAAGTCAAGTCATGGTTTGATACGCAACCTACTGACGTTTTCAAGCAAGGACTTTATAGTTTATAAAACGATGGGAGCAGTGTGTAACTCTTGGTGGTTGCTATGAAGAGAAGGAGTAATAACTGTGCCAAGTTTCGTTCCACTAAGTCCACTGCAAGTGGGTCAGGGGAAATCTTTAATGAACGCCCCTCGAACATAACGTTATAACTAATGGTAGTTTCTCAACTGGTCACGTGACTTTGTTTCAGGGTTTTCATTGGTCACCCAAGATAGAACACCTGACAACTATTTACGTGATGTCCGCCATTCTTTAAAAAATTTTAGTTTAGTCATAGACAACTATGAACAATCAATCAACGAATTGGCGGTTAATCCTTTGAAGGAAATACGTTGTTTTCACACAGGCACTTTACCGCAGAATGTGGGTGTATTCAGTATATATATATACACAAGCGCACCTTTTGACAAATCCGCTGTGTAAGATTAAAGTAATTAATCAATCAACGTATTATCGGTTCAAACCGAAACATGAGTCTCATTAACCTATTCAGACAATGACCTACTTTTCAGCGGATCCGAATTTTCTCGCGTGAAAGTGAAAATAGACATCACAAACAACTCTGGTTACACAGAATTCCAATTCCTTGTTTCATAAGAAAATGGTATGTACAAATGTATTTTAATTTTAAACTTTAATAACATCGTATTTCTATATTTTATGGCGAGGTGTAGGCAGCATGACCTTAACTAAGGCGTCACAGACTACCCCAGTTTGACGAGCTCGTAAAATGATTCACAATGCATCTGGCTCACTGGTTACACCTGTTATGTGTTTTTTGCGTTTATTCCGTGTACTTCTGTAACGCACAATGTGATTGATATAATATTAAGTCCATACCAGACCGCCAAACCTTTCTAGCGGCAGAGCCTCGTTTTGAGATTTCCACGATTTCCAGGTTTCCGTTTGTCAGTACTCGCTGTACGACAGAGCACGCTGGACGACGTGTTTGCAAGGATTATAAGAAGCGTAGTGTTGCAATATACACGTGCTTAGATGTATCAAAAATACTGATTAATATTTATGTATCCAGTTAAATGAAATGGTCTAAAAATTCTGGACTGGTTATTGTACTAAGTTGAGCAATAGGACGGAACCCAATCAACAGGAAACGAGACTTTTGTGTAATCAATGTTTTGACTTGATCCTATGATCGATGTTTTCTTTCTAACTGAGCTGATAATTCTTGCTTTACTTTCATGCGCATATTACATACTATGTAATACATTTGCGACATCAAACATAAATGAATAATGTTGAGTATTTACTCCAAACACGAGAAATGCTAAATAAGAACATTTTTTGGCTACTCTGAGTGGTGTTACTACTAATTATACCTGTTATAAATTCATTAACTGACCATCAAGTGAATGATGACAAATAAACAGATGTAAGTTTACACCACCCAAACACGGGGTACAACAATACAGATTAGTAATCGCTGTATTACATGTAATTTTTATTCCCTAAACAACTGTGGGGTCGACGCTGTTTTGAGGATATGAACTTTGTTGCATGAGAAATACATATAAGCATTTGCTGTGTACTAAAGTTTAAAACTGTATATAATTATCCATTTACCTAAGTAAATTTTAGATTTTTCTGGCAATGGCAATGTGACCTCTGTTCCGGATTTTAAACTGACTTACTGAGTATGGTTTTATGCCGCTTTTAGAAATCTTCCAGCAATATCACGGCGGGGGACACCAGAAATAGGCTTCACACATAACTTATAGAGGGGGAGGATTTTAAACAATGAAATATGTGTTTTTAATATTCTAGGTAAATAGACATCACGTTGTTACAAGACATGATTACATATCAAAGTATATACCACCGAAATAAAATCAAACTGGGTCAGTCATTATACCATCACGGCATCATAAAATCCGAAAAAGCTTACACTGCTGGGATACTTTATTACATTAAGACGAGAACTATAGGGGATGTGTTCAATTAGCAGCATCTGATGGGCACCCACCGTTCTTTTTGCCTCATTGTTTAGGTTGAAGAGATTTTGCCACGGACGAGGGGTGATCGGAAAGAAAGTCACAGGAAAAAAGTCACAATAGCTGTTTTCTCATCTGTTTAATGTTTAGTTGTTATCATAAATCTCAGGATCAATTACAGAATCAATCATAAATCACAGTTCCTGACAGAGGATCAATCATGAATCACAGTTACTAATCACAATTCCTCAGAGAGGATCAATCAAAGTTCTTTGTTTTTTGAAAGGACATGGCCACAAACATACATTCTTATACCAAGTGTCTTCCTTCTCATGTTAGTTTGAGAAGGAAACAGAATTATATACACTTCTTTCAAATACTCCTACTGTAATAACAGATCTAATCTTATTAAGATTAACAGTAAGTACCCAACCTGTTTTCATAGTAGACACCTCTCATTACTTCATTAACAGAGTGACCCCCGTTCACTGATCAGTGGCCTTTCCAAGTCCTGGTTTCACGCCCAAATTACCTCATTAATTATGTTATCATGTCAGAAACAGAAGCTGTTATAATAATTGAGACATTTTACAACCCACTAGTATATATTATTAATATATATTATTGTATTGTGACTTTTGTCCTGTGATTTTTTATCCGTGCTTTGTTTTCTTTATTGAAAATAGCCGTTTAAGTTTGAACAGATTAGGCCATTCGTAATAATAATTTGGAATATACATTATCCGCTGTTGGAGAAGAGCTTCGCATTTAAAAAGGTAAGGGAATTCGTCCCCAACAGACGGAGAATCGCAAGGTTTACAGAGTCTATTTTCTCTAAGAATGTTGTACCAGCGTCCCGTTTCTATCGGTAAATTGTGATTTGATAACTTATACATGTGCCATACAGGTCACATGCAGGTGCACGAAGGGTTATACATGATGAAGCTATCCGGCAGTTAGCAGTGGAGTCACATGCCTTTGTAACCTAAGATCAGCACACATCATAAACGGCGATGTCACTTACAACTGAAGACGGTGTATACACGTATAATGATTAATGTTACATACACATGTAGGTGTTATCTCATAAACGCGATTATCTAATGCAATTAGCGCTGTAATTTGGACACGTGTACATTCATGTGCATCTGGTGTTATTACATACTAATCACCTGAGGATATTACGTGTACACGCGTAATTGATGCAATCTTTCACAAGAGTGCGGGAAACTTCCTGAATCTGGTGAACTTACTTAGGTAATCGGAAAAAGCATCAGGAAAAAAAGAATCGGAAAAGAAGAATCAATTTTTGCTAGGAAAACAAGAATCAGTTCACACATTTATTGGTGGAATAATGAACCAATATCATAACCAATATAATCTATATATATAATATACTAGTAATACATGTATAATCATATATCAATTTGCAGAATGTGTTCCAGGAATATTTGTAAGTTCGGGAGGCGTTTGTTGACTGTGATGATCTTAGACTTGACCCGAACTGTTGGCTGGGTTCCAATGGATAACTGGTTCATATACGTGTCAACCAAGGCTTGGTCTTTCTGGAACCATTGTATAGCTTTCCACACAGATGGAAGGTGGTGACCAACCAGATTTGCAAATTTATTGGCAATTTACAGGCATTGTTTGTACGTGGATCTCCGTTGAGCGTACTCAGATGAACATGTTTTTATAAGCTAAATCGTTATACCAATTATACATGATTGGAGGCCAGTTAATCCCTTAACAATATACTGACTGTAACCTTTTTTATAAGCTGGGTTTTTTTCTGTTTCTTTTTTTCCGTTTCTGTTTTCCTGATTCTTTTTTTCCTGATTCTTTTTTTCCTACAATCCTTACTTACACATGTGACCTGCGATGATACATGTACATTCACGTGTACTGATGTGCAAAATCCACGTTTATCCAGTGGTGTTAATTACATGAGTAACTTGTTAGGTTAGATGTAAGCCTAATCCAACTTGAACAAATTACATCACTGGGCTCACAACAGTTTGCATCGAACGACGCAGATGACATTTCAAATAGGGAAAGTCTTGGGGCCTATGTATAAATAAAATTGGAATTCTGCGAAAAAAATAGAGAATTATTGGAGATGCAAAGGTTGGGGTCAACTAAGGATGGACAAGTCTGTTGGTTAAAGGGAAGATTCATTTAAAATGTTTTGGACATTGCGCAATGACATGCTTTGGCTTTTATGAGTAAGTGAGTTGGGTTTTACGCCGCTCTTAGCAATATTCCAACAATGCCACGGCGGGGGACACCAGAAATGGGCTTCACACTGTGCCCTTGTGGGGAATCGAACCCGGGTAGTGATCGAACGCTTTAACCACTAGACTACCCCACCGCCCCTTTGGCTCGTATGATACGTAAAAACAGAATTAATGAAATATTTACCCCTTTCGGCACGTGGAATCCTGCAATAACGGAATCATGGGGCATGATCCGTGGTGAACTAACCATGACAGGGTACATCTTTCTGTGGGTGAGAAGCAGAAAGGTGAAAAGAGTAATTCCATGCACATGGCACCCGGTGCCATCTTGTCTGCAATCTGTAATGTCACACTTCCATGAACCTACATTAAGCAACAGTAATCATAACGACACGTTAGCAACTGAAGTCGTATATATTAACATAATAAGTTGTTCACTGGTCACGCTTGATGTACCCCCGATGTTTGTACGCTTCACACATTGCATCGAACCCGGGTTTTCAGAGTGACGAGCGAACGCTGCAACCACTGAGATACCCCACCGCCCACATGTTTTAGTAATATTCCAGCATTATCACGACGAGAGACGCCAGAAATGGGCTTCAAGCATTGTATCCAAGTGGGGAATAGGTGGTAGGACAATAGGCCCACAGGGACTTAAAGTCCCCAGACAAAACACCCCTAGGCTAAATGGGGAACGGCCAAAAGCCCCTCAGGACAAAAGCCTCTTGGTACAAAAGCCCCTCGACCAAAAGCCCCTCTGGACAATAGCCATGTTTTCATTTGTTTGATGATATATATTTCTTATTCTCTGAAATATTTGCTAATTACATATTAATTTATATAGTATTTAGGGTCATTATATTATCAAGCATTTCTGTATCATGTTGTTAATTATTTCTTCTTTATTCATATTCTCCCATTAATACATAAAGTGAGGGGCTTTTGGTCATTTTTCGAGGGGCTTTTGTCCTGAGAGGCTTTTGGTCGAGGGGCTTTTGTACCAAGGGGCTTTGTCCTGTGGGGCTTTTGACCTAGACCCAGGCTAAATGACCCCATGACAAAAAACCCTCAATGGGTAGGAAAAACTGTCCTCAATGAAAAGATGTCACAGAAAACCATCAAATCTTTTTGCAGCATATGAATTCATTCTCACATGAATATATTATTTAAAATATGATATAATATAAGTTCTAACATTAGCATCATGATGATGCATAGATATTAGCACATAATTTAAACACCTAAACACTTAATTTACTTTCATTTGTACTCAACATATAAGCACGTGTCTCTGTAACAACATTTAAAAGGCCATCTTAATAAACACCATGCTCACTGACATGCCACAATGAGTACCTGCCCAACCAAATCAAACATAAGAGGAAGTGACCAATTTAAGCCAATTCTCTGAAACAACATTTAGCAGACTTCCTTCCACTGAGGAGCCTGGGAGCATATGGTTTTCACATATGCTACTTACCTGTAACAACTGTCAGCAGTGGGAGGGATTGCTTAGAAAACATCATGTTATCACCTGTCAACTCAAAATCAACTCAAAGGGTATTTTATCCTATGGCTGTAATTTTGCAAGGGCTTTTTATCATGGGGGCATTTAGCCTAGGTTGTTTTTTTTGTCCCAGTGGGCTTATTGTCTGCCTACCGGGAAATCCAATCCCAGTCTTCGGCGTGAGGGGCGCCCGTTTTAACCATCAGCCTCCCCACCTGCCCCAACACAATACAATTAATTGTACCACATTTTTTACAAGGAATGGTCAGTTCTTGTAATAAAAGTAATTATTAAATTATTTTGCAGTAAAATGTGCTGGGTACCAGCCAAAAGCCCCTCAGGTCAAAAGCCCCTTGGTTCAAAAGCCCCTCGAGCAAAAGCCCCTCGCTAATTTGAGCACCCCTGTCAAAAGCCCCTTGATTTATGTATTTCATATAAGAATGAACATTTCTCATTGCTCTTATACATTTTATAAGTATTATAAGTCTTTCTGTTTGTGCATCTTTCATCACTGGTGAGGGAATTCCGCGCTTTCTCACCCAGTTAAGTCTTTGTAATTTTGTCTAAGGGTTTCTTTACATACCTGAGGACTTCCTCTATTAATCATCTCATTTCTGATATTCTCCACACTTTTCAATTTTCCCCTACTCACAATCTGCCTCCCATATTGCGTGCTTTACTACATAATGTAACACCTATTTTAAAATCCTATTATCAGTATTAGGAAACAAAGATCTTCTCAATAATTTCTGGGAAAACTGACCACATTAATTTATACATTATTTAGGGTCATTATATTATGAAGCAATAAATGTTTCATGTCATTAATCATTTCTTGTCTTATCATATTCTCCCATTAATACATAAAGTGAGAGGCTTTTGGACATTTTTCGAGGGGCTTTTGTCCAGAGTGGCTTTTGACCTGGGGCCCCTTTCACGACGGAACTAAGGTTAACCTTAACTCCCATTCTTTAACATTGCACTAAGATTACCTAGGTAACTTACGATCACCTTAAGGCTTTGTGAAAGGAGGCCCTGGGTGCCGTTGTACAAAGCGATCTTAGAGCTAATGTGACCGTAACTCCCATATCTTAATATAGACTTAAGGTAGTACAACGGCACCCTGGACTCAAACGTGCTGCACCGTTACTTTACTTAGCTGGACCCTTATTCTTATGGAAAGGACCTTTGATGTCATTGGGGGTCATCCGGACCTCTAGTAAAGGTAAAATCCTGGTTATGGTCTTTAAACATGTACACAGCGGATCTTCACTGGAGGGAAATTAGACAGTCCTTGACATCATAAAATAGGGAATACATAGAAAACTTCATGAAAACCGTGGCCACGCTATATTTTCTTTGCCTATTTCAACAGATGCACACAGTCTGGCGTATAACCTTAATTAATAAAACATAATAATAAAGTGGTAATCTTTAACGATCTTTGAGGAGTATAATTCAGTCTTAACCTACCGAAATGATTCTGTCTGGCAGGCCCTATAGTACGGCATTATTTCCATCTGCCCTGCCTCCAGCGGACGCCCAGTCTGCGCCTGCCCAACGACCTCCGTGATCTCTTCATATAGGCGCCTCTGGATGTCTCTGTGGCAGCCCATATTGAAGAGGAAACACTCCATGTTCTTGGCGGTCTATACATGCCGGAACCATCATGAAAAGAGAGAGAGAGATGCATCAGTGTCTTTAAAGAAATGAGAGTATCATAACACTGATTCATCTGTCCCTGCCACCAGTAGGTCTTGTAGCAGTGCGGAGATGTCTCCCTCCCTCCCTATCAGTGACACCATGCTACACACCGAGTCTGTCCCTGCCACCAGTAGGTCTTGTAGCAGTGCGGTGATGTCTCCCTCCCTCCCTATCAGTGACACCATGTTACACACCGAGTCTGTCCCTGCCACCAACAGGTCTTGTAGCAGTGCAGTGATGTCTCCCTATCTCCCTATCAGTCACACCATGCTACACACCGAGTCTGTCCCAGGTCTTGTAGCAGTGCAGTGACTCCCTATCAGTGACACCATGTCTGTCCCACACCGAGGTCTGTCCCTGCCATGCCAGCAGGTCTTGTAGCAGCAGGTCAGTGCAGTGATGTCCCTCCCTCCCTTCCTATCAGTGACACCATGCTACACACCGAGTCTGTCCCTGCCACCAGCAGGTCTTGTAGCAGTACGGTGATGTCTCCCTCCCTCCCTATCAGTGACACCATGCTACACACCGAGTCTGTCCCTGCCACCAGCAGGTCTTGTAGCAGTGCAGTGATGTCTCCCTCCCTTCCTATCAGTGACACCATGCTACACACCGAGTCTGTCCCTGCCACCAGCAGGTCTTGTAGCAGTGTAGTGATGTCTCCCTATCTCCCTATCAGTCACACCATGCTACACACCGAGTCTGTCCCTGCCACCAGCAGGTCTTGTAGCAGTGCGGTGATATCCCCAAAGGACAGAGCTGGATTAGACAGCAGAGTGAGTATCAAATTCGGAGCATCGGCATCAAACGTCCCTTCCTTTTTCTGCGTCTCCATCGTTTCAATAGCACGTTTCACTTCCTTCCGACCGTAACTGAAAACACAAATCATTCGTTCTGGGACATCAAATATACCATTTCACGCCTGTGTGTGACAACCAATCACTCCCCACACAGTAAACACAAGGAACACAGTGAAGAAATGACCCGTGAAGATCCGGGTTAGAACTGGTCTTCAGCGATCCATGCTTGTCGTAAGAGGTGACTAATGGGATCGGGTGGTCAGGCTCGCTGGGTTGGTTGACACATGCCATCGTATCCCAGTTTTTGTAGATCGATGCTCACGGTGTTAGTCACTGGACTGGTGGTCCGCTTCCATATTGCTGAGTGCGACGTGAAACAGCAAACAAAAAAACAGTGAAGACACCATTCTCAGGGAGTGCGCGTGTGTTGGGCTTATCGTCACATGGAACAACCGTGACGTTTACCACTTTGGTTATACCCAAGAAACATGTGTCTTACTCGAGTGAGAGAATATCGCTTGAACGCCCCATCAGCAATTCAAAGGTGACTGAAGTGCTCAAGGGACGGTGGGGTAGCCTAATGGTTAAAGCGTTCGATCGTCACGCCGAAGACCCGGGTTCGATTCCCCATGTGGGTACAATGTGTGAAGCCCATTCTGGAGTCCCCCGCCGTGATATTGCTTGAATATCGCGAAAAGCGGCATAAAACTAAACTCACTAACTCTTCTTCTCTTCCGCTCTGTGGTGATCTCTTACATGGAACCCGGGTATAATCATCAGAAGGATGTTACTGGTACTGATGTAACGCCATGGTAACACTACACACCCAAATTATCTGGGAATCGTAAATGCAATATTTACAACCTACCTGTACCCGACATTTGCCGCATGTTCAAACTCTCGGTAGAATTTTGTGGGGAATATCTTGTAGAAAGGGGGAGTACTGCCATCTTTGCCGATGATGGAGAAGAACGTTTTCACCTGTTTCAGGTATTCGTCGTTTTCTGGCGACACGGTACTCAAGTCGTCGGACAAGAAGCCCAAGCGTTTGTTGAAGGCCACAACAGCAATACCTGAAAGATACTACTTTTCATGAACATCGGACAAAAAGCCCAAGCGTTTGTTGAAAGCTACAACGGCAACACCTGAAAGATACTACTTTTCATGAACATCGGACAAGAAGCCCAAGCGCTTCTTGAAGGCTACAACGGCAGTACCTAAAAGATACTACTTTTCATGAACATTCGTACTTGAGGGCTACAACGGCAATGCCTGAAAGATGCGGCTACACATATTCAGTCAGACAATGTCGAACTCTAATGTGTCGATGGCACGGTTGTCTCGAAGTGAAAGCTATAAATAGGTCCCTACGTATTCCACAAATCTCAGTGAACACGTAGTTATTTAGCTTCGACACGCTGATATTTGGTATTTGGTAAGAGAGTGGAAGGTGATTTCTCCTCAAGTCAAAAATATTTATATTTCTTGAACACTGTGGGCGAGAAAATCATAGGCGATGACTGGTATCAAACATAAGTGAGATCGATTTCCAGGTACGTGATTGGCTACTCCATGGTGATGACCTGAGGTCAGATTATGACGGACTACTTTTCTGATCGTAACTTTTGGATAGGTTAGTCGTGCTTTCGTCCGTTCCGAAAGTGTACGGCTCCAGCGTGTCAATAGATGCTCTTAGGTCTTATATGGTTTTCACATTTCGCATTGACAATCCATAGGTATGGGAAAAGGTTTGTGTGGAGGATCACACAAGGTAGGAGTTGTAAGCAAGATCCACCTGTGAAGAAGCCGGTTAAAATTGATCTTTTGTAACCCATGCTTGCGGTAAGAGGCGACTAACGGGATCGGGTGGTCAGGCTCACTGACTTGGTTGACACATGTCATCGTATCCCAATTGCGAAGATCGATGCTCATGCTGTTGATCACCGGATTGTCTGGTCCAGACTCGAATAGTTACAGACCACCGCCATATAGCTGGAATATTGCTGAGTGCGGCGTGAAACTCATTCACTTACTGTAAGCAAGGTTCCTCAGCCGGATTTACAACAACGGTATTTCCCTGGGTATTACTGACAAGGTTTAAGAATAAAGACACAATAATTCGACAATAAAAACACTGGTCGACGCAAAAATACTTTGGGTGACGTGCGCTCACACATCCTATCAAAAACTGAACACCATTTCAATCCCCAAGGGTCAAGGGAGTCACGATTATTACACACGAAATCGCTACACGTGATCTAATATGAACGGAAAACAGGCCATTCCGACGATAAGGGTTTTTCTTTAACAGTACTGCCAAAAGTTGAATGCACGCTTTTCATGAAATCCGCTTTGGCCTCGTAAAACGTCACTATGTGTTTTGAGTATGTGGTTTCATGCGCGTATCGTCTCGTGACTGGGAACTATATTATTCAGCAGATCGGAACAATGCCAATAGCATTTTATATACCACATCTACACGTTTTTCACGTTCATTTTGAGCTGGTAGAGGTAACCCGCTGCGCAAGTTTCTAAACAGTCTTAACGTAGTCACGTGACTGCTGAACCGTTCCCGGATTAAACCATGGCGGCTGTTTCAACAAAATTCTATTGTCAAAGTTTTAAAGAGGATACTTTTTTTTGCCCGGCAATTGAAACTAAAAACTAATTTCTCTCAACCCGAAGTCATATCAAACTGATCTCATCCAAATCTCCAATATTTCAGACCCGTGAATATCCGGGTATACATTGGTCTTCAGCAACCCATGCTTGTCGTAAGAGGCGACTAACGAGATCGGGTGGTCAGGTTCGCTGACGTGGTTGACACATGTCATCGCATCCAAATTGCGTAGATCAATGCTCATCCTGTTGATCACCGGATTGTCTGGTCGAGACTCGATTATTTACAGACTGACACCATATAGCTGTAATATTTATATTGCTGAGTGCGGCGTTCAACAACAAACCAAATATATACTTTCATACGAGTGTAATGTTCCGATCTAATATCATTTGAAATATAATACATGTATATACGTTTAAACGGGTGTAATACACCGATCTAATATAATTGAGCCCCTTACACACAGACATCAAACCCAAAGCCTCACATCCCGCCTAATGTGTTATAAGTAGCAGGGGGTAGCAAGGTGGTTAAAAGGTTAGCTCGTAACCCAGAGGTCCTGGGTTCGATTCCCCGAATTGGTACAGTGTGTGAAACCCATTTCTGCTGTCGCCTGGAATGGTTGTAATATTTCTAAATGCCGCATTCAGAAGTAAATAACGCACATCATCAACTTAACACGAACTTACTGGTGGGGTAGCCAGGTGGTTAAAGCGTTCGTTCGTCACGCCGAAGACCCGGGTTCGATTCCCCACATGGGTACAATGTGTGAAGCTCATTTCTGGTGTCCCCTGCTGTGATATTCCTGGAATATTGCTAAAAGCGGCGTAAAACCAATTCCTTACTAACGTCAACTTGCCAATGGTTCCTCACAAGAAACGAAGACAATGGCGGCTGATTTTACGTACGCTTCAGTCAATCTCCATAACATCTTGATTAAACTGATCTGGCTGACCTTGCCCTATCCTGTGTTTACACCACAGGCAACTGTAGCGCAGATAGGGTTGCGTAACAGAGAGGAAAATTACCAGTCTTCCTGCGAGCAAAGACTTTTCTCTGCTGCGCAACCCTATTTGCGCTATAGTTTGCCTGTGGTTACACAGTACCAACATTAGAGGCAAAGGAACGTCCCATGGCTGTCATTAGGTGTAATATCACTTTAACTCTAGAGTATATCTGCTCCCCAACAATCTGGGTGACTGAGTGAGTCTACCTTTACTCTGATTTTAGCAATATGCCCGCAATATCACAGTGGGGGACACGTATTATACCCATGTGGGGAATCGAACACATATGTGTCGGAAATAGAAGAAAACAGTTTTTTCGCATTTATATCTACAGTTTATGTGGTTCATATGTAAAAGTATGAAATATCTGTTAAACTAAGTTCGGCCATACTACAGTCTCAGTGGTAGGGAGGATAGGACACTTAGAAAAAGGACTTTACTGAGGAGAGATTAGTGCAGAAATCAGTTGCTTCACTGCATGTTCCAACATATCGTTCATAGTGCCCGTTAAGCACACACAAAGTTGCATTTACCTTAGAGTATAAATGACTTCACCACGTTTCAGTTTATATATGACTATCAAATTTTATGGTGTTCCCATATTTTTTGTTTGTAGTATATTTTACAGAAGAAAATTGTTCATAAAAAAGTAACCAATGACATGAAATATAATGAAAAGGAGCCCAGTGACTCTCTTCATTTTCAGAAATCTAGAATATGTAGCAAGTCAACATTTCCACATTTTTAGGATTTCTTTTCAAATCAAGAATTGCCACATATTCTAGACTTGCGTGGGTTTTCTTGGATACGTTTGATTCCGGGTCTGTATGACAGACTATCTGGTCTCATGTCGAGGAATTTGCTGTACGGAGTTGCGTCCCTTAGTACACTGTCACACATTGAAGTAGTCTTAAAATACCCTCTTTATAAAGAGGCTCGTGCACTTGTTATTGCATGTCATTGTATCACAAATTAAGTACATCGATGCTCATGTTGTCAATCACTGGATTGTACGGTTTCGATTCGATGATTTACAAATCGCCATCGTATGAAATACTGCTGGTTGTGGCGATACAAATATGCTAAGAAAACTCAGGATTGGAGGACGCTTTTGATGCCCAAGCACTTTAAAGTGAGTGAGTGAGAGAGTTTAATTTTACGCCGCACTCAGCAATATTCACAGCTATATGGCGGCGGTCTGTAAATAATCGAGCCTGGACCAGACAATCCAGTGATCAACATCATGAACATGGACCTGCGCCCCAGCACTTTAAAAGCTGTACAGTATCAGTGTATCTGTTTTTGGTTGGCCTGTGACCGCTGTCAAAATAAGCACCATAAAGACGAACCTGGGATTCGATTCAAACGTCAGCAGATCCTGGATCAGCAAAGGGGCGTAATCATGCACACCGAATTCAAATTTCTTAGACCATTGAGACTACCGTATACCATGTAAAAAATCGGGTTTTGTTCGATATTTGAATTCATACGAGGTTAATGTTGACTGTCTTTCTGAAATGATACACCTACTCTCGGCAGCAAACTTGAAGAGTTCCTCTCTGAATCCTTCGGGGCTGTACATGTGAGTTTTCATCCTTTGTACGAGTTCATCGGCCACAGCGTTCTGGGCAGGCAGGTACTGGTGTGGGGAGGCTGGACGCATGAGCTGTCGCGACAGAGCTGTCCGAAGACGTCGCCAATCCATGCCGTTACTGTCGAACATGAAACGTACAGGTTATTAATGGTGTATATCAAAGCTGCTAATGCGAATGTTTTCGCATGTTGCTAAACATTAATAAAACTTAAAGGAATAATGCTTAATGCTTGGTTCACATTGCATTAGGGGCGGTGTGGTAGCCTATGGTGGTTAAAGCGTTGGCTCGTCACGCCGAAGACCCGGGTTGGATTCTCCATATGGGTACAATGTGTAAAGCCCATTTTTGGTGTCCCCGCCGTGATATTGCTGGAATATTGCTAAGGGACCGTTCATAATTTATGGTTAGTAGGTGGTGATGACTTTAAAAGGAAGGGGGTGTCACTTACTTTCGAATCATCACCCCACTCCCCCACCAGTCATTATGAACGGTCCCTAAAAGCGCCGTAAAACCATACTTACTCACTCACTCACTCAGATTGCATGAATCGTTAACATTGTAGTAGTAGTATTAGTATGCCTACATGTCAATACTTTCATCATTGTTAAAAGCTATCATCCTAACCACTAATGGGTTAACAGTAGGACGAACGAAGGTCGCCATCCGATAAACTGCATCCAACTACAAGCACAACACGCTGTCTACTTGTCAGGTGACAGAGGTACAGATAAGCTGCGTATCTGCGTATATTACGCAAATATTTATGTGAAAACTCAATTCCTCTTAAGTCTATTGCGTACGGGTACCCTTGAATTTTTGTAAATACTCAATGACAATAAAATTGATCTTACATGCATACACACAAAAATGTCAAATCTTAGCTTGCGTACCGGTGGATAGATAAAATAACTGAGGTATACTGAGAGGTTCTGTTCAACACATGAACTTGGCAACGTGCAGTCTTTCTTATCGTTTCTCATACTACAGATCAAATATAAATAACAAACACGTAAACTAACATTTACACTTTATTATATTTTTACTATTAATGGAACATGGCAATTGAGTTTGAGTGAGGTGGGTACAATTTATTTAGTAACTCAAAGGAAAATTAGGATACCCAATTGAGATAAACACATGCGAGTACATAACTCAATGACGCAAAAAGTTATCTGTAGCTCTGTAGGTGCGTGCTATTATTGGTTGTAGTATCAGGCCCCGTCTCAAAACGATCACAGTGGTAAAATAACGTAACTCACTGTAATATCGACATGCAGTCAGTGAGTTTGGTTTTACGCCGCTTTTAGCAATATTCCAGCGGGGACACCAGAAATGGGCTTCACACATTGTACCCATGTGGGGGAATCGAACCCGGATCTTCGGCGTGACAAACGAACGCTTTAACCACTAAGCTACCCCATCGACTTGACAAGAATATCTTAATCTATTAATGTCTGGACAAACTAGTGAATGTTAATCTATAATATCTGAATAAAAGTTGGAAAACTAGCTTTCCCTGAAATTTTTACTAAAATGCATAGCTTGTGAAAACAGTTTATAGTGATATCTCTTTGTCTAAATAGTGCATCCGTGAAGATCCAAGTTAGAATTGATCTTCAGTTACCCGTGCTTGTCGTAAAAGGCGACTAGTAGGATCGGTTTATCAGACTCGCTGACGTAGTTGCCACATGTCATCGTATCCCAATTGCGTAGATCGATGCTCATGTTGTTCACTGGATTGTCTGGTCCAGACTCGATTATTTAGAGACCGCCGCCATATAGATTGAATATTGCGACGTAAAACTAAACTCACTCACTCACTCACTCTAAATAGTGACATTCTGGGACGACATCATTATCAGTTGAACTGATGTTGCCTAGGCATTGCGGATTAGAACAGCCAATACCACACCTTCGATTCACGTGACAAGGTCTGATTGCGAATCGAATGGTTCAATAACTCCTGATTGCTGGATGCGGTGTTAATCAACAAACAAACAAATAACTCCTGAAATTCATTCATTCGATCTATGATTAAAATCCGACCACCGCAAAACTTAAGTTTCTCACTGTTGTGTAAACGTCATTCATTCATTCCCTCACTCACTCCAAACTTACACTATGCCCATCCCCTTCTCCTTCTCGTTCTTCTCACAGTAATGGACGTAGATGGAAATATCGGGTCGAGCGGGTAGTTGTCCCTCTTGCTGGTAAACGTCTTTCAATGCCGGCAGGGTCTGCAGTGACGACTGTCCAGTTGTTCAGCATGACGCGGTAGGTCCGGCCGTACTGCTCGTGAAGACTGTCGAACATCTTGTGAGCTGTCTCCAATTTGTAGTCCGCTGTTGAAAGAATCAGTGATGTTTAAAGGAGTGAGTGAGTGGTTTTACGTCGCTTTTAGATATGTTTTCATCATTATTTTATCATTCAGACACAAAGTGAGTGAGTTTAGTTTTACGCCGCTTTTAGCAATATTCTAGCAATATCACGGCGGGGGACACCTGAAATGGGCTTCACACATTGTACCCATATGGGGAATCGAACCCGGGTCTTCGACGTGACGAGCGAAGCTTTAACTACTTGGCTACCCCACCGCCCCGACGTTTAAAGGAAGCTATCGGGGGATATAAAAGACGTTGCGTGACACGTGACCTGAAAACATTACAAGCTGTTGGTAATATAGTATACAACAAAAATTACTGATCGCGCACATTCAGTGGGCTAGCACTATAAAACCAGCTTAAGTCTGGGCTGTGCACATACACATACACACGCATGCACGTCGTCATATGAGCGAAATATTCTCAAGTAAAACGTTAAACCCAATTTCACCTCACCTCACCTCACCGTTGTTAAAAAAACCGTGAGAGTGAGTGAGGGTAGTTTTACGCCGCACTCAGCAATATTCCAGCTATATGGTGGGGGTCTGTAAATAATCGAGTCTGGACCAGACAATCCAGTGATCAACAGCATGAGCATCGGTCTACGCAATTGGGATACGATGACATGTGTCAACCAAGTCAGGGAGCCTGACCACCCGATCCCGTTAGTCGCGTTTTACGACAAGCATGGGGATCTGAAGATCAATATTCTAACCCGGATCTTCACTGGTCCTATATAATACAAAAAATACTGATTTTCGAACAGCGTGAGGTGTTTCCAGTCTATTTTCTGTTGTTAAAGAAACGAAAGAGCTTTGATGTGTCAACAAACAGCTGTTTCATGTGTATTTCGGTTGTATCGAACCTCTGATAACTCGAATAATTTACTTACATCCAAGCATCGACACAGTGATGCTTGATTGTATTAACAATTACATCGAAACATTGCGTAGGTCATGTTGTTAAATTAGAAAATACGAGACAGTCTGCAGAAAACAAGTGTCAAGCGAATACTGATACCGAAAATATCGATGTTGAGGAACGAATATCTGAAAATGCGTTTGAGACGCTCCCTACGTAGTTGAGATTAACATGACACTCATTGGAAGAGTAAGCTCGCGTTATGGACGAGAATCACTTTCTTATAAATATGACCTTGTTACACATTCCACAAGACTCAAAATGAGAACGATGAATTACTAAAAAACTCAAATTAATACCCTTTACTAAACCAACAACATATGCTGTTATTTACACAATGCCATTTAGAAAGTGGTCAAATGTAACACATGTCATATTTGGGATAACACCTTCTTAGTAAAGTACAGATTCTAGTACCTTTGTTGGGTTGAGTCCCACGCGGGATTCGAACCCACACCCTCAGAGTCAGGCACCTAATCGCCATCTGATGTTTGTTATTGTTGTGTCCATCACTCTTAAGAGTGAGTGAGTGAGTTTAGTTTTACGCCGCACTCAGCAATATCCAAGTCAGCGAAACTGACCACCCGATCCCGTTAGTCGCCTCTTACGACAAGCATAGTCGCCTTTTATGGCAAGCACATGGGTTGCTGAAGACCTATTCTACCCCGGATCTTCACGGGTTCACTCTTAAGAAACTTTTATGTTGAGTTGAGTTCCCTGCAGGTATTTATTTAAGGTTTTACGGTAAGGGCAATCATTATTTATGTGTTTCACGTAGCCATCAAATTCTGAACATGGGTCGGTCGGTCGGGGAAAGAAATAAGTAAAAAAAAAATAAAGACCTTATTATCCGAATAATGTTCTTGATTCTCAATTATTGTAATTTTTATTACAATTTCTCGCGTTCTCTGGACTTGTGGCAGCGACTGATTAAAACATTTTAGTTAGATAAACATTTTATATGACGAGGCGGTGTTGGAATGAAAAGGTTTTTGTTTGTTTTTTGGTTTTTCAGTGTGTGTGGCGGCAATAAAATTAGAAGGGACACAAAATAGATAAAAATGCTGCCCTAATGTATAATGTAGTTGTTGTCTGTTTATTGTTTAAAGCCGGACTCGGCAATAATCCAGCTGTATGGCGGCGGTCTGTAAATAATCGAGTCAGGACCAGACAATCCAGTGTTGGAATGCAGTGCAGTGTTGCGTTTGCTGTTTTAGGTTCGTAATAACCTCTCCCCTGCATACACCCCTCCCGACCTTCCTTTACCCCGACCACCATTTCCACAACGACAGCTGCAGTCATGTGACTGACTTTGTGTACATCACACCGTCAATACGTATCATAAATGCATTGAAGGGTCAGATGACACAAGTCTCAAATTACTCCAAACGGATAAGCTAGCGAAGAGGTCCACTTACTGAACGGGTGAAACTGTAGAAGGGGACCGAGAACGGGAACAGAGTAGATCCCCGAGGGGCCAGGCATTTCCTGGAAGGATTTTGCGTCCCCTGTGGGCGGGTTCCGAGTGTCTGAGGGCACAGTAGCCGTGCTTGACAGCCTGAGACAGACATCGACATTGCTTTTTCTGACAACCCATTGTCGGGTTACCAGACATCTTGACACAACGGACGTCATCTTTCGTCCCTAGAGCTTACACACTTGCGTTTCGTCAACGTGCCCTGTAGGGCTCGAGCCTTTGATGAAGCGAACACAATCTCTTCGGAGTAGTGTTGTTAATTTTAGGTTGAGGGTCAAAGGTTCACAGGGGAGATAATTTAGTACGTATGGTGATTTCTCGGTACAGGGTGAGAAATTGAAGTTCTATCCTGCGAAACAAAATGTTCTTTTTTGACAAAGTAATCTGTTATTTCTTCCAGTTTATGCTGGCTGTATATAACTGACGCCAATAAAATATATATTAGTGACACAGACTAGAAAGTAAAATCCCGACTACATTGGATGCAATGCTTTAAAGACAACTCACTCATGTATTTCGGGGGCGGCGGGGTAGCCTAGTGGTTAAAGCGTTCGCTCGTCACGCCGAAGACCCAAGTTCGATTCCCCACATGGGTACAATATGTGACGTACATGTTTGGTGTCGCCCGCCGCGATATTTCTGGAATATTGCTAAAAGCGGCGTAAAACAATACTCAGTCATGTACTTCGATGCCAAGGTAATACATATGTGATGTATTTTGTTTTCAATTTTAAACAGCGAGACACTGAGACTGTCAAGGGGCTGTGATTTCTTTCCATGATTGGCCAACAAGCCTCAAAGTGGTTCATGAACAGCTTGTTCAGCTTGACCTGAGCTACTCTACATATGCATGACCCGGGAGGACAAATGGCACAAACGGCAGGTCGAGTTAACTTCCTTAAGTAGGGGAGCAGAAAATGTTATTGTCGCTGCTGCTGCTGCTCGCTGCCTAAAAGCCCGATTCAGAAACATTAAACTATCTGTAGCTTCTTTTTTTAAAGAAAGTTAGGACACTGCTGACGATTTCTCGACACTGAGATGTCAAGCGGCGACCTTGTCTTGGCTGTTCGGACATGTTGACAATCAACTTACAAAGGTGCACCCCTTCACAATAATAGACTCAACCAGTTGTGACACGGTCACGCAATACATTAGTATTCACTTGATCAGGTCAAGCTGAACAAACTGTAACTGTACACAATTCATAGTACTTTGGACATTAGTTTAAACCTTTAAGTTGTAGTTTCAGAAATCTATGAATTATACGAGTTATTTGTTTTACATATGTCAAAAACGGTCTTGGTATCCTTTATTTTTGCATGGTGTTTTGTATTATTAAGTAGGTCCTTATGTACAAAGACATATATATTCTTCATAAGAACTATCTCAGAAGTCATACCTCTACATACAGAAATATGAATCCGTCCTTCATACTTAATGAAATTTCAATCGGTTGAACAGGGTGATTTAGAATGAAATTAAATTTTCTTTTTGCGCTATATGAGGTGAGGTGAGGTGAAATTGGGTTTAACGTCGTACTTGAGAATATTTCGCTCATATGACGACGTGCATGCGTGTGTATGTGTATGTGTGGCTGCTTGTACTAGCCCAGGCTTAAGCTGGTTTTATAGTGCTAGCTCACTGAGATACCATGCCACAGTGAAGCATGAATACCCCACTCAGACACATTATACTGACTCCGAGCCGACCAGTCCTTGTTGTACCCATTAATGCCGAGCGCCAGGCAGGGACCAACAAGTACCATATTTTAACGTCTTTTGGTATGACGCGATCGGGTATCGCACCCGCGACCTTCCGCTCTCCGGGCGGACGCTGTCACCACTACACCACGGAGGCGGTCGCGCTAAATGAGATATAAGAGAGGGCATTTTTGGTAGAGGGCGCTAATGGAGAGAGCTTGTTAAGCCGGGTTGTTCAAACCTCCGGGGGCGGTCGGGTAGCCTGGTGGTTACAGCGTTCACTCGTCACGCCGAAGGCCCGGGTTCGATTCCCCACATTAGTACAATGAGTGAAGCCCATTTCTGGTGTCCCCCGCCGTGATATTGCTAGAATATGTCTAAAAGCGGCGTAGAACCCAACACGCTCACTCAATCTCCCTTGTGCTGTCGCCGGAACAGCTCATTCTGGATTTTCTTTTCTTTCAATATCAGTATGCATTTTGCATGTGCATTATAATCATTCCCATTTTCCGTTGTCTGGTTTGGCAGTCTTGTTTCAAGACAGAATAGTGTCACAGTGACAAATGCGGTTCTGGACCCCGTTCCTCAAAGCGATCGTAGCGCTACGACAGTCGTAACTCCCATACTTTAACATAGACTTACGACAGTCGTAGCGCTACGATCACTTTGAGGAACGGGGCCCAGGACCGCAAGTACATGTGTATGCGTGAATAATGGTCCATGCATCTTACAGTAAGAATCCGTGAAGATCCAGGTTAGAATTGATCTTCAGTAACCCATGCTTGTCGTAAGAGGCGACTAACGGGATCGGATGGTCAGGCTCGCTGACTTGGTTGACACATGTCAGCGTATCCCAGTTGCGTAGATCGATTTTCATGCTGTTGATCACTGGATTGTCTGGTCCAGACTCGATTATTTACAGACCGCCGCCGTAAATGCCTCGGCGAGACTGCCACAAGGGAAGCCACAATGTCTGTTTGTTTCATATCTGGAAGTTTGTAAGAGAATATTACTACGAATATGTGTGTTATATTATTATGTGTATAAGATAGATAACTGCTCCATTGCTTGTAAAACATATAACTGTTTTATTATCATATATTTGGCCTAGGATGGAATCCCTGGTTGTAAAGTGAAAATCACACAACTGCTGATGTGAGATGTAATGTGAGATGACCTAGACACGATAGTGAGTGAGTGAGTTTAGTGTTTGAACAACCCGGCTTAACAAACCCTCTCCATTAGCGCCCTCTACCAAAAATGACCTCCCTTATATCTCATTTAGCGCGAAAAGAAATTAATTTCATTCTAAATCACCCTGTTCAACCGAATGAAATTTCATTAAGTATGAAGGACGGATTCATATTTCTGTGTGTAGATGTATGACTTCTGAGATAGTTCTTATGAAGCATATATGTCTTTGTAAACAAAGACCTACTTAATGATACAAAACCCCAAGCGATAATATAGGATACCAAAGCCGTTTTTGACATAACAATTATGTAAAATATATAATTCGTATAATTCAGAGATTTCTGAAACTATTACTTATAGGTATAAACTAGGTGAGACGACCTAGACACGATAGTGAGTGAGTGAGTTTAGTGTTACGCCGCTTTTAGCAATATTCCAGCAATATCACGGCGGGGACATCATAAATGTGCTTCATACATTCTACCCATGTGGGGAATCGAACACGGGCCTTCGGAGTGACAAACGAACGCTTTAACCACTAGGCTACACTAGGCTGTTATATAACATTACATATCAATTGTTTTTTTTATTCTATACTACCCATCAAAAGTTTAGACTCACTAATGTAAATGTAGCCACTTACTTGTCCACTGTTCTAAACTAGCTTTTTGCAAAATATTCCATACTGTTTAAAGGTACTGTTTAGTTATGAACTGGTGTATTGTAAAACATATTCGTAACATTGAAAAGATTATTGTCATGAGTTCAGTAAATGATTAAAATCTGTGAAAATTGGCGAATTCTTAACAAAACTTTACACCAAAACGAATCTGTTCACATGCACGACATTTGCTCATGCCTTTCGCAATTTGAAGCATCATCCTTGTGCAATTCATATGCATAAGGTTTTCAGTTGGTTCCCCCAAGTTGGTGGAGAAATTCATCTTCGATGTAACCACATACATATACATAACATATAGTGAGTGCTTTAAGTGAGTCTAAACTTTTGATGGGTAGTATATTTTATAGATATATAAATGTTATATTATACCTTTTGTTTAAATATACTCATGCCAATAATGGTTGTCACCCCTTCAATTTTTTTAATTGGAGAGGGGGTGTGGGGTGTGAGGTGTGTGTGGGGTTGGGGTGGGGACAGGGGGTGACAACCATTAATGGCATGAGTTTATATATGAATGTTATATTATACAATTTGTTAAATTAATAAATGTGATGGTTGTTGTTTAACAGCGCACTAAGCTATATGGCGGTATAAATGTCATGTTACACAATTTTTGAAATATATAAATGTCGTATTATACTATTAGTTAAACATATAAATGTTATGTTACACTATTGGTTTGATATATAAATTGGATTTCTAGTATAAACAACCTTGACCAGCTATCAAGTGCTTGGTTTCATTCAAGAGAGACAACTCCCCTTAATCCTTTTTCATTAGTTTGTGAAGAGTTATCCCCCTTTGTTAACTTGCTAGCAGACGACATTTTCAGTGATCCTCAGTATGGATGATTTAGAGAAGAGGAAATTGATTTTAGAGTATTATAACAAGGACATTAGATCAGCTAAAGTGATTTCAAGTAGAACAGGCATCCCTTTTTCCACTGTTTATCGTGTTTTGAAAAATATTGCAAATGGATATAGCATAGAGCACCTGGGAGGCTCAGGTAGGCCCAGAAAAATGACTGAACAAAAGGAGCGAAGATTGAACTGGTGCTTACAGCATAAAAATTTTAACTGGGACAATGTGATTTTCTCAGATGAAAGTTCTGTGTGGCTGTTTCCTAGTACACTGAAATTCTGGACCAAACAAACTGAAAAACCTTTGTATCAGCACCCAAAGTACAGTCCGAAATTTAACGTGTGGGGGGGGAGATATATGTGTTAGGGGCAACGCCCCTCTGTGTATTTGAAGGGAATATGAACAGTGAGCGGTACACAGATATTCTCGAGGGACATTTACTTCCATCTGCTCACGTGTTCTATGGAAATGTTTGGATTTTCCAGCAGGACAACGACCCAAAACATCGTTCAAAGCATTCACAGGCCTGGTTTCGGACCCAAAATATGACATTATTAGATTGTCCAAGCTATAGCCCTGACCTAAATCCAATAGAAAATGTTTGGGGACTTATGAAGGAAAGTGTCAATAAGAAAAATCTGACAATTATTGCTGAAATGAAAGAAGAGGTGGTCCGATATTGGGACAGCATGGACCACGACTTTCTAACTTCTTTGATCAGTAGTATGCCCCGCCGCATTGAAGCCTGCATTGCTGCCCATGGTGACTTGACAAAATACTAACTGTTCACCTGTCTTTGAATCTGGAGTTATGTTCTGCTAATATTCACATTTGATACGTGAGTAATGAGTAAAAAAAAATAAAAATTTACAATCTTTAAATTCTCAATAATTTCTGGTTGTACTGTACATAATTTGTTAAATATATAAATGTTATACTATTGGTTAAATATATAAATGTTATGTTATAAATGTTATATTATACTACTTGCTAAAAATATAAATGATTATGTTACACAATTTGTTAAAAATATCAATGCTATATTATACTATTTGTTAATATGTAAATGTATTGTACTATTTGTTAAATATATAAATGTTATATTATATATGTTATATTATACTATTTGTTAAATATAAATGTTATATTATATATGTTATATTATACTATTTGTTAAATATATTACTGTGTAATTGTAATGTGTGTTAGATATATAGCATCTACATTGTAAAACATATAACGGTTATATTATGTTTACAAATATATAACTATTATATAACTGTTACGTTATATTGTTTATAACACATACAACTGTTATCCATTTATGAATTATAGAACATAAGTTAAACTATTTATTATCTATCATTATTATACTACTGCTATACTATACTATATAACGGTTATAGTATAATGTTTGTAAAAACAATATAACTGTTATTATATTTTATATGAAATATATAGCTGGTATATTTGTGAAATATGGAACATATATCAAAAGTATACACAAATATATAACGGCTATATTTTTTATAAATACATAACTGTTAAAGTATAATGTACATATTGGGCTGTAGGCCTGAGTACTGAAATACAGATTAATAAACTTTGAACTATATAAAATGGGGTTCCAGTGATCAAACTCGACAAAGTTGGCGGATGTATCAGAGTGAATGGCAATAGCTCTGCCATCGCGCACATCCGGGCATTTGGCACGAGATTTACATGAGCGACGGGCCAAGCGACAGACGATGCAAGCGCTGTCGAGAAGGGGCATGGTCGAGGTAGGTGGAAGGCTGTCGCTATTTCTGTTGATTATCGTCGTGAACAGAAAATTGAAATATGTTCCATTAAGTGAATAAATGAGCACAATGATTCTTACAGAGTATTTCAAATGATATGGACGGATATAGAGATTGTACACTATAGCTATCTGTATTCCTTTTTCAGTATTCAAACATGGCGTCGAAACGTGTAGCCTTCATCCTAGCTTTGGTCGTTGTGAGTACCAAGACACATTTTGTCACATTAAGAGAAGATTTTAAATACCTCACAAATCCAGTCGCACTGTTTCTGTCAATTTAATAGGACGAGTATGGGAAAATAATGGACTTGATGATTTAATCAAGCTTTAGTCTTCACCTTTAATCATCCTATCAACTTTTCTACTGTTATTAATACTTAATCCTTCCTAATTGTTGGCTTATTGAAGATCCGGTTTAGAATTGATCTTCAGTAACCAGTGCTTGTCGTTAAAGGCCACTAACGGGATCGGGTGGTCAGGCTTGCTGACTTGGTTGACACATGTCATAGGTTCCCAATTGCGTAGATCGATGCTCATTCAGTTGATTACTGGATTGTCCGGTCCAGACTCGTTTATTTACCGACCGCCGACATATAACTGGAATATTGCTGAGTGCGGCGTAAAACTAAACTCGCTCACACTCATCACTTGGCACGTTTGGCCTGAAAACGGTTAAAGAATTTACACCGAAACAGTTATCAATAAAGTATGCTTCATTAGTGACTCACCAACTTCTGGAATGCTGATCAAACATTATGAGAAAGGTAGGGTGAATCGTCGGGTATTTTAGGTACCACTGACAGTTGGAAAACTCTGAATTTATAGTTTTTCCAAAATCATAATTCATAAATATGCTGAACAGCAAAAGTAACGCAGGTTTCGAAAAATGAAATTTCGCAAAAGTAAGCGTTCATGTTTATGGACCGTTCATGGTAAAATAACGTAATGATCCCAGATGAGATGTCATGCATTCGCACAAACACACCCACAGTGCAGCAAAACCATAATTTTAGCACGTACATCGACGGTTCTGGATGGAAAACATGCATTTCACTCTGAGGTATCGTTTATAAAGTTTTGTGTCAAAAATCAGTTCAGTGTTGACGCTAGGAGGTATACACGCCACACAAACGATGCCTAGACTAACGAATGAGCAGAGGGGAATGGCCTATGGAAGGCTATGCAACCGCTGTAGCTAGACAATTGGGCTGTCATCTTACCACCATTACACGGGTTGCTGCTGATTGTCCCGTACCGAACGGCCACGAGCGACAACTATGCGCATGATAGGTTCATCCGGGTAACTCATCAAAGGGACCGCCTAGTTGGTGTATTGGTTAGAGCGTCCGCCCGGAGAGCGGAACGTCACGGGTTCAATCCCAGGCCGCGTCGTACCAAAAGTTCAATCCCAGGCCGCGTCGTACCAAAAGACTATTGCTAAAAGCGGCGTAAAACTAAACTCGGTCAGTCAGTCAGTCACTGCGGCATGGCATCTCAGTCGGCTAGTACAAGCAGCCGCACATACACATACACACGCATGCACGTCGTCATATGAGCGAAATATTCTCAAGCACGACGTTAAAATCCAATTTTACCTCACCCCACTCATCTAAGGACCGAACTCAAGCAGTAACAGCAGCTTTAGTTCATGAAGTCAAGGGGAACAGTGTCCAGCGATACGATTTGGCGTCTTCGAGCTGCTGCGACGGATATGGCTCCCATTGAACTTCTGGGACAACATTGGACGTAGGATTGCTGCAGGTAGACAGCAACTCACACTTGCACAGTTGGAACAGAGATTGGTGTTTGGGTGGAACCACTTGCCTCAGGCATTCTTTCAGACTCTAGTGAACTCAATGAGGCAACATTGCACGGCCTGTGCAAGTTCAAGGTGGCTATACGAGCTACCAAAGAGACTGTCACTTTTCGCACTCAGGGTATCTCCATTTGACGGACTGTGATCAATTTGAACCTATTGCAATTCAGTGTTAACAGCAACACTTTTAGCTGTTAAATCGACAGTGTTTTCTATAGTAAATTATTAGACATAATTTTAGTTGTCTTCTATTCAAAAACTTGACAAAAAGACAGACTTGCGTTTCTTTTGCTGTTCAGTATATAACAACACATAGGCATTCCGGGGTAAAACAGGTCCTGAGTGACCTATGCTTGTCGTAAGAGATGACCAAATGACTGGCCATCTCACACGTTGGCGTTGATGGATGCTTACAATATCAATCTCTGAATTGCCTGACTCCGATTCGATCACGAACTGGTCGCCGTCACAGAGAAGGAATAGTGCTGAGTGCGAACTAGCTTAATACAGACAAGACATATACATAAGGTACGCACATGTTTGCTGTTGGATATAAACCCGTGAAGATCCGGGTTAGAACTGATCTTCAGTAACCCATGCTTGTAGAAGGCGACTAACGGGATTGGATTTCAGGCTCGCTGACTTTGTTGACACACGTCATTGTATCCTAATTGCGTAGATCGATGCTCATGATGTTGATCACTGCATTGTCTGGTCCTGACTCGATTATTTACAAACCGCTTCCACATACCTCGGATATTGCCGAGTGCGGCGTTAAACGGCAAAGACATGTTGGGATATAATAGCGTCTTAACCAATGCATGATCAAAAGCAAGAATGCTCTTCGTGTTGGCATTCGGGACTCTGACAACTGAGATTCCTAAAAACCATCACAACACTTGTCGATGCAAATAACACAGCCTTGATATTGCAACACACGTGATGCATTGTTTCGAATTTTAATTTGTCCGAATGAAAACATTCTTTTCAAACGTTGCTTTACATCAACGGTTGAACTTTTCCAAATTGATCGTTCCAGGCCATCGTTCGTGGAGATCCTCCTGCCGGGTACATCATAGACGGTATGTGGCTTAGAACCTGCAATATTTGAAACTAGGAATACTACAATATCTAAATCTTAAAAACATCCCTGAAAATCTCTGAAACTTGAGCATTTTGAAACACTTGAAACTAAACGGGCGGTTAAAACGTTCGCTCGTCACGCCGACGACCCGGGTTTGATTCCCCACATGGGTACAATGTGTGAAGCCCATTTCTGGTGTCCCCTGCCGTGATATTGCTGGAATATTGCTAAAAGTGGCGTAAAACCAATCTCGCTCACTCACTCACTTGAAACTAAACAATACTTTAATATTTGAAGCTCAAGAATACTGCGCTGAAATTTCTAGATACTGCAATGTTTCAAACAAACAAATCCTGCAAATTTTAAAATACTACTTGCATTTATCGAAAATAACCAGAATTGGGTATAAAGCACGACCTGGTCGGCTCGCGGTCAGCATACTTGATTTGGGTCTAGGCGTTAAACGATGGTACAATGTGTCTAAAGGGCGGTGGGGTAACCTAGCGGTTAAAGCGTTCGCTCGTCACGTCGAAGACCCGGGCTCGATTCCCCATGTGGGTACAACGTGTGAAGCCCATTTCTGGTTTCCCCCGCCGTGACGGGATATTGCTACAAGCGGCGAAAAACTAAACTTGCACACTCTAAGTGGGTTATCAGTGACACCAGCATAAGCCATGCACGTCACAATGAAAAGGAAATAATCTTGAAGACGCTGAATCTCGTTTCTTCTCGCTTATATCCGGAAATTACCGAGACTCAAGTTCATTTCGTGTTGATGTGCAGTGCTTCCTAACTGCGGTGCTGACGCTGTTGCGGACGGCTACGTGGAGGTCGTCACCGACCTGAACGCCAATGCGAAGGCTGTTTGTGCTGGAGGTACAGTCCACAAGTTTTCCGCCGTGGACAAGGTCAAGTTCCGTCTCGACGTCTCCTATCCTGGTCGCGGCAGCTCCCCTTGTGTGTTCGAGGTGAGTTTATTGGAGAATGTTGTCTATTGTATTTACCGTTGTATTCATCGATGCAGTAACACCAATTAGCATATGGATGCCAGCCCCCTTTGGGTACTTCGTATACAGAGCATCAAGATTAATTTCCTTATGCCTTTGTACAGTACCAATGATGTTTATCTAGTCCGCTGAAGTCGGCATGTTGACAATTATGTATTTTTTATTCTTGCAAAGAAATATTTGAAATACTTTACATAGTTTATTCCAGAATTTATCTATTTTCAATCTCCTTGTCAAACCCTACATTACACCATAGCCGTGAATATCCGGATTAGAACTGGTCTTCAGCAACCCCTGCGTATCGTAAGAAGCGACTAACGGGATGGGGTGGTCAGACTCGCTGGCTTGGTTGACACGTCATGGTATCCCAACTGCGTTGATCGATGCTCATGATGTTGATCATTGAATTGTCTGGTCCAGACTGGAATATTTACAGACCGCCGCCATATAGCTGGAATATTGCCGAATGGGCGTGAAACAGCTAAACCAAACTAGCACCGAAGTGGTAGAAGTCTGACAACAGTATCGCTTCGTGCTATTTTATCCATTCAGGCTCATGGTGTCAATCACTGGATTGTCTGGTTCCGACACGATTATTTCACACCGCCGTCCTGAAGCTAGAATTTTGCCATGTTAAACAACAAACAGCCAAAAGTCTAAGAATATTGCCAGAAGCATCGTAAAATCATCACTCCTCGATTCTTGCAGAAGCGGAAGGGCGTGGATGTCTACGTCATCACGGTCACTGTGGCCTACGGACAGAAGGGCGGTATGGTGCAGAAGAAGTCCGAGCAGTACACGGTCACCTGTACATTCAGTGCCGCAGGGGGCGTTGCCTCGGTAAAGCACACGATTCACGATGGGTAGGTACAATGAATATTCAGTGGCGTGTCATTACCCCGTGTCGAAACAACCAAACAAAACGTATACTTAATTGGTCTTCACAACTGACGTGATCAGGCTCGGTTCCTTGGCAGATACATGTCATTTTATCTTAATTACGTTGATGAAGGCTCATTAAGTAATTGAATATCTAGTCCAAACTCGGTTGGAATATTGCTGCGTTAGGCAACAAAATAAGCTGTTCTTAGATATACGTGTGTGATCGGTCAAATATGGATTAATCCGCGATTTCAAACTGGGCTGTCAAAGACGATTAAAACTGCTTCAATGTAACTCGTGTGTGTTATGAAGGTTGAAGTAACGACCCAAGCTGGATACAGTTAATATTTCGATACTAGTTGATACCAGCTAATATTATTAATCATAAACATAATTTTAAGTATCCTTTACTTAGGTATTAAAACTATTTTAGACTGTTTCACTAATACGCTTTCATACTGTGGCATTGCCACAACTTGCTGACTCGAAACATTATAATAATCTTTGGGGGCGTTATTTGACAATTGGTAGCGGCGGGGTTGCCTAGTGGTTAAAGTGTTTGCTCGTCACGCCGAAGACCCGGGTTCGATTCCCCAGATGGGTACAATGTGTGAAGCTCATTTCTGATGTCTGATGCTGAAATATGGCTAAAACGGCGTAAAACTAAACTCCCTCGCACTCTTTGACAAATGACTTGGGCTTGCATGTATTTGTTACGGTACTTTGTCGTTCTTATTTCCTGACCCAACCTTTGTCTCGTCGCTATATGGCTGAAATAAAGCTGATGTCATCAGATTTGCTCACTCATGATTCGCCTGTTTGAAACGTTATGCATGCAAAATTAAGCATAGGTTTTCTGCAGTTTTTCATTGGATTATTTCCAGACAATCTGGATATATCCGGAAAATTGCTTGGTTTGACATATACTGACCAGCAAAAGCAACGCATTTAAAAAAAACCAAAATGTATTCCATCAAATCCAAACTCATGATGATAAAATGTAATTTTCAGGAATTCTGAGTTGCGTTTTTATTGCTGTTCAGTATATAATCCACATTGCTGTATGTCCCGTGTTGCAGACTCACAGCTCCATTGGAAGTGCAGCACAACACAGGAAGCGAGTCCAAATCCACAGTCACGCTGAACGTCGTGGACGTTCTTGGCAATGATTTGACAGGGTCTGACCTTCACCTTGTGAAAACTGTCCAGCTCAAAGCCGTGAGTAAAGGTAAGAATGACAGTTGGACTAGTCCTTCTACTCATTTCTTCTGTTGGGAGAAAAAAGCCATCTTGTATAAAGCGACCACAGTGCAGCGGTGATATTAACCCCCATACGTGGACGTAACACTAAGTTCGCTTTGTGCATGCGGACCCAGGTCCAAATAGTCCTCAACACAGAAGTACCTTATGTTCAACCCCGTTGGGATTTGTTCGACTTGGTTTCTAGCAGCCTTTGCTGAGTTTAATAGGAAACTGGATAGATCAGGTCCAAATTTCTCGAAACAAACTTAAGTCTGAGTTTTAAATTGAGTAAGAGTTTTTACTCAAATCTGAGAAAAAGCATTTCCTAGAATGAACTGAAATCGATATTAAACTCAAACATAGTAGACAGTTTGAGTTTGGTGAATAGATTACTTAAATTGTTTGGGCTTTATTATTTTAAAAATGCAGCTGAGTTAAAAATTTAGTCGTTTCAAACTGTCAAACTCAGTTTGAAATTTGAGTAAAATCTTATTTTGTTTCAAGAAATCGGGGCCAGGTGGTCTGACTTTTCATTTTACCCTAACCAGGTTAGAACTGATCTTCAGTAACCCATGCTTGTCGTAAGAGGCGACTAACGGGATCGGGTGGTCAGGCTCGTTGACTTGGTTGGCACATGTCATCGTATCCCAGTTGCGTAGATCGATGTTCATGCTGTAGATCACTGGATTGTCTGGTCCAGACTCGATTATTTACAGACCGTCGCCATATAGCGGGAATATTGCTGAGTGCAGCGTAAAATAGCCAACCAACCAAACATTTTATCCCGACGGCGTGAATCGTTGCAACGGAAACGTACTTGCCGCCAGCATTCGATCGTTTGTGGATCGGAAAAGACAAATGTATATTGCTGAAGGGTCCAAGCTAGGTTAAACTTCATTACGAACAGTCGTGGCATTATTTGCCTTTTGGTATTTTTCGTGAGGGTTGGCATTTGTGTATGGGGATTATTTTTGCGTGTTTTACCCAAATGCACAAATACGCAGTTTATCGTGATTTCGCTACTAATCTGCATGCGTGACAACTTGTATTGGTTGTGTCTTCAGGCGAACAGGGAGAGAAAGGAGTGAAGCCCGTGTCGTGTGATGCTATTGGAGTAAATACAAAGAAACGATATCCAGTGCTGAGGGCTGGGTACGTTTTTCAAAGTTCATTTGTGTATTCTAAGAGCGGTTGTATAACCGAGTGGTTAAAGCGTCCGCTCGTCACGCCGGAAACATGGGTTCGATTCCCAACATAGATACATACGTGGAGCCCATTTATGGAGGCGTAAAATCATATTCACTCGATATGTTCAGATTTATTCTGATTAAAATTCTGTGTAAAAGTGTTTGCCTTGAATAACACTCAACAACATAGCTGCTTCATATTGGGAACACAAGGAATGATAAGCGTGAATACTTGCGTGAAGAGGTCTCAGAAATAAAAACTTTGATTTGATTATTTACAAATTCAAACGCACGTCACTATTACAACGCATAATGTATACAGATTCGTGACGTTAACCATTTTTACAATACAGAGGGTGTGTGGGGTAGCTTAGTGGTCAAAGCGTTCGCTCATCGTGCCGAATTTCCTGGTTCGATTCCACTCACGCGTACAACGTGTGAAGCCCATGTCTGGTGACCCACCACGCCTCTACCTTCAAATCCTCCCCAGTGATATTGCCAAAAGCTTAGTAAAACTGTACTCTAGCACTTATAATGCAATGTTTGTCACTGTGTTAACTGATGAATTCCCTGATTTGAATTCAAGAACACACTGATGTTTTTGTCGCCCGCCGCCACGCGGTACGGGGGACTATGTAGTCAGCAGCGCCCGTACGTACGTCCCGATTCTTGTAAACGCGATATCTCATGAACTGTCTTCAAATTTGGTGACAGCCTACGCTGGGGGGGATTACGCAGACACCAGTTGATTTGGATGACCTTGACCTTATTTTCAAGGTCACCACGACAATTTGACCACTTTTTACTGTCAGTAATCTCATGAAACGGTGCACCCAATTTTAGCCTCCGAGCTGAAGAATATATTGACATTTCTTACAAATTTGATGTCAGGAATTAATATCCCGGGAAGAAAATTTGGACCCAAACTTGTATAAACGCGATATCTCATGAAACATAGCATCCAATGTCTTCAATGATGTCGAAAACCTTCATTGGGTGATTATGCAGACCCCAGTCATTTCAGGAATCGTGTATGTGACCCAAAAATAAAAAGTAGTAAATGTGTTATAAAGATTTCATTCTACTTTAGCGACGGGGGAAATTGCCCTATTAGTGGCAAACACTTGTTTTAATTGTAACATTCTAAGTCCCACCTTAGTATTGAAGGCTTCTGAGCGTGGGTAATGATTTGACTCAAAATCTTTATCAAGTGAAGCGTGTCACGCTGACAACTTTGACCAAATCATTTTGACCTCTACTGGAACATCTAATGTGCAGCTTAAACGATATTCGGCTTTTCCATATTACCAGAGGCCGGTCACATGGCCGCTAATCTGAAGTTAACAAGTGTACGAAAGACACATTTCCACGAACGTATTCTCTAAAGATGTAAACACAGAAAACTTCCACAGTTCTGGGGAAAACCTTGAGATTTCCCCAAAAGGAAATACAGAAGCGTTGTTTCTGATTGATCATTTAGACCCTTGAACCTCGAATCGTTTTGGCATAAATTAGAACAAGTGAGTCGTATCCCATGTCCTTTCAAGAATATCGTCGCTTTGACTGTGAAGGTCCATACTCCAATAAACTCGCATAAAGTGAATGTCAGTTTTTAACTAACTCTGGCATTGTCATCAGTGGTATCAAATCATCTATGGGCATAAAAGTTGTTCTGGATATATGTGTGTGTAAGCTGTTTTAACCACATGCCACGTACTGTTCACAGCTGCGGTGACGGAATCATTTTCAAACGGAACCAAGGATTCACGACAACTGGCCTGACGTCCGTCAGCCCCTACTTTCCTGCCTTCAATGTCGCCTCCGACCCAGTCGTTAGCTTCCAGTGCAACTTCACCTTCTGTGACGCGGTCTGTGATGGGGTGCGTGTTTCTGTCCCTCTGACAGCTGATCTTTCTTACCTTTATATCTCTCTTCCCTCTCCCTTGGGCGGTTGGGTAGCCTAGTGGTTAAAGTGTTCGCTCGACACGCCGAAAGCCCGGGTTCGATTCCCCACATGGAAGACCAGGTTCGATTCCCCACGCCGAAGACCCGGGTTCGATTCCCCACGCCGAAGACCCGGGTTCGATTCCACGCCGACCCGGAATATCCCCACGCCGAAGTGCCGGGTTCTTCACGCCGAAGAATCGATTCCCCACATGGGTACAATGCTTGAAGCTCTTTCTGATGTCCCCCATCAGTGCTTGGTCTTCGAGAGAATATCCCCCTAGCTGCCGTGGTTGTTCGAGAGACCAGACCCTTAGTAATCAGTGCTTGTTCTCTGAGAATAGATCCACAGTAATGCGTGTATGATCAAGGATAGGCCGTCATTCCCCACTTCTTGTTTAATGTAGACCCCTGTGCTTCTTGAAGAGACGCCCAGTAACCCATGCAAGTTGACCCATGCAGAATAGTCAATTGCTGCTATTAAAGAATACATTTTTATATCTACTTTTCCCATTTCAGAGCACGTGTAAAAATGACAAAAATCGAAGATCTGCAGAGGTTGACAATAGCCGTAAGTATGAAAGTAATATAAGTTGCGAGTAATGCTTATTTCCCCAGCCGCAACGCTGAACGGGGGACTTTTGTACCCAATGACTTCAAGTTTGGTGACAGCCTACATTCGGGGGGATTACGCAGACACCAGTCCCAATTGGGTGACCTTGAAATTATTTTCAAGGTCACCACGACACTTTGACCACTTTATGTAAACCAGATATCTCATGAAACGTTGCACCCAATTTTAGCCTCCGAGCTGAATAATATATTGACATTTCTTACAAATTTGATGTCAGGAATTAACATCCCGGGTAGAAAATTTGGAGCCGTCCCAGCCTTAACACACACCGCATAAGTGTGTGGATATGTGCATCTGCATTTATACATTCAAATCTACTATATTCCTGAAATATCTTCAGAGTTAGTAGATTCTGACAAGTGACAACTACATCACATAAAAGGTAATCTTCTATGTGGCCAAACGACAAAAACTAGTAAATATGTTATATCTTGTTCTTCTTTAGTGGCGGGGGACATAGCCATGTTAGCGGCAAACACTTGTTTTTGTTATGTTCACGAACTGGACAGCTTGGTATCCCATATTGTTAACGTGAGACACCGAGGCACGTTTTAAGGCTGTTAGACTGTTGAAGGTCGGTGGGCTAGCAACATATCCGGCTTAGTACAATCGAACGTCTGTGCAATTCGCCATTAACTTATTTCACCTCACCTCACCTCACCTCACCTCACCTCACCTCACCTCACCTCACCTCACCTCTTCATTCGAGCCCATTTCTAGTGATCCCTCCTTGATATTGCTGGAATATTGCTAAAAGTGGCGTAAAACTAAACTCACTCACTCCTCCACTCACTCACTCACTCACTCTTCACTCGAATAGCTGCAGAATTGATGTACCAGCACAGGTCTGTCGTATCACTTAAAATTAAAATGTGTCGAATGGTGAAAGCATCACAAACCCTATAATTGCAGTAAGAGGCGACTAACGGGATTGGGTGGTCAGGCTCGCTGACTTGGCTGACACATGTCATCGGTTCCCAATTGCGCAGATCGATGCTCATGCTGTTAATTACTGGATTGTCTGGTCCAGACTCGATTATTTACAGACCGCCGCCATATAGCTGGAATATTGCTGAGTGCGGCGTAAAACTCGCTCGCTCACTATAATTGCAAGCTGATCTGAGGGTGTTCTTTCACAGGAGACTCGTCACTGCTGCACACAATCCATACTGGTGATTTCCTGTTCCGAGTCTCGAGGACGCGGAGGTCTGCTGATCAGCACAAGCAAGGGAAGACCCTTCTGAGGAGAAGCAGACTTCCGGCCAAATATAACAAGCATTTTACATTGTAGTGTGGTTGACAAGTAAACTTGCAATATCATTGTGTGTGTTGTTTTGATTGTGAAAAACATTTGGAGCCATGGTTAGTTATTATCCATGTCACAAGTGACCTGGTTGGTGGTTCGGTAGCTGTCACGCGTGACCCAGTTGATGGTTTGGTAGCTGTCACGCGTGACCCAGTTGATGGTTTGGTAGCTGTCACACGTGACCCAGTTGATGGTTTGGTAGCTGTCACACGTGACCCAGTTGATGGTTTGGTAGCTGTCACACGTGACCCAGTTGATGGTTTGGTACCTGTCACACGTGACCCAGTTGATGGTTTGGTAGCTGTCACGCGTGACCCAGTTGATGGTTTGGTAGCTGTCACGCGTGACCCAGTTGATGGTTTGGTACCTGTCACACGTGACACAGTTGATGGTTTGGTAGCTGTCACACGTGACCCAGTTGATGGTTCGGTAGCTGTCACACGTGACCCAGTTGATGGTTCGGTAGCTGTCACACGTGACCCAGTTGATGGTTTGGTAGCTGTCACACGTGACCCAGTTGATGGTTTGGTACCTGTCACACGTGACCCAGTTGATGGTTCGGTAGCTGTCACACGTAACTCAGTTGATGGTTTGGCGCTATCACACGTGACCCAGTTGATGGTTTGGTAGCTGTCACACGTGACAGTTGATGGTTCGGTAGCTCTCACACGTGACCCAGTTGACGGTTTGGTAGCCGTCACACTTGACCCAGCCTAGCGGTTAAAGCGTTCGCTCGTCACGCAGAAAACCCGGGTTCGATTCCCCACATGGGCACAATAATTGAAGCCCATTTCTGGTGTACCCGCCGTGGTATTGTTGGAATACTTGTATTGTTAAAAGCGGCGCAAGACCATATTCACTCACTCATAGCTGGTGTACCCCGCCGGGATATTGCTGAAAAGATTCAGGTCCCCGTGTGGTACAATATGCAAATAGCTATCCCTAAATGCGATATGAGTCTTATTGCTTAAAAGCAACAATCCTGTCATAGCAATTTAGCGTCACTTCCGTGGAGATGCACTAGTCGAACAGGATTCACTAATAAATGAATCAAGCTGGAATCCAGCAGTAAAAATCTGTTTTTGATGTCTGTTACTTTCTTTGTATACTCGTGGAAACGAATAAGGGAACACATTAAAGTACAACTTTACTTTATTCTCTTCCAGGTTTCTTCACAAGAAGGGGCGGTGGGGTAGTCCAGTGGTTAAAGCGTCGGCTCGTCACGCCGAAGACCCGGGTTCGAATCCCCACATGGGTACAATGAGTGAAGCCCATTCCTAGTGTCCACCGCCGTGATATTGCTGGAATATTGCTAAAAGCGGCGTAAAGCCAAACTCAGTCAGTCTTCACAAGGAATGTATTGTACTGTTAGTGAAATTCTGGAAATAAGTAAAGGAACACTTACACTTTCATGTCTTCCCTTATTCGTTTCTGTGAGTATATTTGGACCATACTATCCAGTGATCAACAGCATGAGCATCGACTTATGCAAATGGGATACCATGGCATTTGTCAACTAAGTCAGCGAGCCTGACCACCTGATCCCGTTAGTCGCCTCTTACGACAAGCATGGGTTGCTCAAGATCAATTCTAACCCGGAGCTTCACGGGTCACAACATCGTTTAACAAAAATAATATGCGACATACAACACCTTAACTTAAAATATCACCAAAAGGAACACTAAATGTCTATCATGCTTGAAGACATTTTTTCGTTTCTTTTACATATTTAATGATAGGCATAGGTTTAGAATTATTTCTGCTTCCACGAGCGATGTTCCAGGCTTGTGATTATAGGTTGGACTGTAAGAGAGTTAAGGAGCCTGATCAGTTCAGTTAACTCACTGACTGTCATCGTACTACTGTACCACTATGACCTTGCTGGTGTTCATGACATCAACCATTGGCTTCTGGGTCCAGATTCCATCATTTACCGAAATATGGTCATCAGGAACAGCGCCAATATCAGTATAGGAGAAGCAGGTTGTAGCCCGAACCTGCTCCACGTGCGCAACTAATGGAGAGTTTGAGGACATTCTCCTACTTAAAACAAAGTACCGTCCAATATGAGCTCTGAGCAAAATCTGGGGCGGTGGAGTAGTCTAGTTGTTAAAGCGTTGGCTCGTAGCGCCGAAGACCCGAGTTCGAATCCCCACATAGGTACAACGTGTGAAGCCCATTTCTGGTGTCCCCCGCCGTGATGTTGCTGGAATATTGCTAAAAGCGGCGTAAAGCCAAACTCAGTCAGTCAGTCTGAGCAAAATCTTACCGGTCGCAATCGTGCACTAATATTGGAGGTTATTATAGTGAACGTAGTGACATGAGCAATAGATATAGATCTATGGCGATTGATACCTGTCAATATGTGCATAAACTAAAATGCCGACATTTGATATGTTTTTTAAAAACAATACTGTCTTTGATTTCGTCTGTATAACAGTTGTACTTGTACTGACATCTTAGCGATTTCGCCCTAGCATCACTATGTCACTACTGTTCCCGGTAGCTGTTACAACCCGCTGAAACGGCACGTGCACTAATATCGGAGGGCTTTCGGTATAAACGCCTGTATCTTGTCAGACAATTTCTTGCTCGTGTTTCAAAGTTCAGCGCAGGATGTCCGGATATGAAGACGAACTGTTTTTAACGCAAAAATACACTTTCTAGTAAGCCTGAACTTGCTGACGAGGTTGTAGTAAATTCAGAATTTGAAGCTCTTCTGTTTTCTGACGACGCTGGTGAAAGTGCGGTCCCAAATTTTGATATTGGACAATGCCATTTGTTTTCAAGTAGCTATTCAGATGATGAACTTCATGACAGCCACATCCTCTCAGACGACAATTCCGATAAAGAGTTATTTTTAGCCAGTCAATTACTGGAGGAAAAGTGGGGAATTGGGGCACTAGAATCAAAACCTACATCTAATTGTTTGCCAAATGCTGTTTCTAAACTTCAATCTGAAAAGAAAGAAAAAATTCGTTTTGGCACCCCCCTTTCAGCAGCTGAGATTGTACAACTCTATGACTCCAGTCACTCGGTAAACACTCAGAATAAAAGTAAATGGGCAGTAAATATTTTCAGGAACTGGGTTATAGAAAGACAAAAACGAAACCTAGATGTCCCACTCCAACATCAAGATATTGTATCTCTTGCGTCAAACGAAATGGCTCTTAACAAGACTTTGATATTGTTCATAACGGAAGTCAAAAATCAAAAAGGGGAACAGTATCGGGGAAATACTTTATATGAAATAATCACAGCTCTCCAATATAACCTCAGAAAGAAGGGTATTGATATAAACTTTTTTGATTCACCATATTTGAAAGATATGGGATTGAGCGTCGGCAGGCCAGTATCATCACGGAGGCACAGGAGGATGAGTTGTGGAGAAGAGGACTATTGGGGGAAGACACCCCTCAGCAGTTGCTGGACACTCTACTGTATCTCATAGGGTTGAACTTCGCACTCCGGGCTGGAGACGAGCACAGGTTTTTGCGCTGTGGGGCGAACTCACAACATACATTAATATTCCCCAAAGATTCAGGACCCAACCAACTCAGATACACAGTCGATGTGTCCAAAACAAACAGAGGAGGGCTTACACGCAGACAAGTCGGCAGGAAAGTAGTCAAGATATCCAGAAATGACGAAAACCCGAAACGATGCCTTGTAAGGCTATACCAAGAGTATTTGTCACTAAGGTAATTATGCATTTCTTTCTTCACATCTTTTAAAGGGTATGCAAATTCATATGATCATTTTGTTCGGGGGTGCAGTTGCAACTTTTGAACTTGTTAAACGAAACTTTAAGATTGTCTCCGAGTATTTCATAGGTATTGATACGCTTTAATCATATTCTGTTAAAAAACCGCTTAAAATCTCAAATATATATAATGACCACCAATTTATGATTTGTTGTATTTTCAGACCACCAAATGGTAAGTGCAGTGCCTTCTACCTGAGACCACTACGCTACCCTGTCGACAACGTGTGTTACGCTGACGCCCCTGTTGGTATTCACCCGTTACGATCTACCATAAGTGTTTAGAATTGACCTTCAGTAACCCATGCTTGTCGTAAGAGGCGATTAACGGGATCGGGTGGTCAGGCTCGCTGACTTGGCTGACACATGTCATCGGTTCCCAATTGCGCAGATCGATGCTCATGTTGTTGATCACTGGATTGTCTGGTCCAGACTCGATTATTTACAGACCGTCGACATATAGCTGGGATATTACTGAGTGCGGCGTAAAACTTGCTCGCTCGCTCACTCACTCACTCACTCACCTGGGTCCTGTCAATCTGTCCTCTCTTTGTTTCAACTAGGCCTTGTCAATCCTTCCTATCTTTGTCTCACTTGGATCCTGTCAATCTGTCATATCCCAGTTTTGCCTGGGTTCTGGCAATACGTCCTATCTTTGTTTCACCTGGATCCTGTAAATCTGTCTTCTCTTTGTTTCACCTCGGTCCTGTCAATCTGTACTATCTTTGTTTCATCTGGATCCAATCAATCTGTCTTCTCTTTGTTTCACCTGGGTCCTGCCAATCTGTCTTATCTTTGTTTCACCTGCATCCAGTCAATCTGTCCTATCTTTGTTTCACCTGGGTCCTGTCAATCTGTCTTCTCTTTGTTTCACCTGGGTCCTGTCAATCTGTCCTATCTTTGTTTCACCTGGGTCCTGTCAATCTGTCCTATCTTTGTGTCACCTTGGTCCTGTCAATCCGTCCTATCTTTGTTTCACCTGGGTCCTGTCAATCCTTCCTATCTTTGTTTCACCTGGGTCCTGTCAATCTGTCATATCCCTGTTTCACCTGGGTCCTGTAAATCTGTCCTATCTTTGTTTCACCTTGCTCCTGATAATCTGTACTATCTTTCTTTTACCTCGGTCCGGTCAATCCTTCCTATCTTTGTTTCACCTGGGTCCTGTCAATCCTTCCTATCTTTGTTTCACCTGGGTCCTGTCAATCTGTCATATCCCTGTTTCACCTGGGTCCTGTCAATCTGTCCTATCTTTGTTTCACCTGGGTCCTGTCAATCTGTCCTATCTTTGTTTCACCTGGGTCCTGTCAATCTGTCCTATCTTTGTTTCACCTGGGTCCTGTCAATCTGTCCTATCTTTGTTTCACCTGGGTCCTGTCAATCCTTCCTATCTTTGTTTCACCTGGGTCCTGTCAATCTGTCCTATCTTTGTTTCACCTTGCTCCTGATAATCTGTACTATCTTTGTTTCACCTGGGTCCTGTCAATCTGTCTTCTCTTTGTTTCACCTGGGTCCTGTCAATCCTTCCTATCTTTGTTTCACCTGGGTCCTGTCAATCTGTCCTCTCTTTGTTTCATCTGGATCCAATCAATCCAGTCAATCTGTCTTCTCTTTGTTTCACCTGGGTCCTGTCAATCTGTCTTCTCTTTGTTTCAGCTTGGTCCTGTCAATCCTTCCTATCTTTGTTTCACCTGGGTCCTGTCAATCTGTCTTCTCTTTGTTTCACCTGGGTCCTGTCAATCTGTCTTCTCTTTGTTTCACCTGGGTCCTGTCAATCTGTCCTGTCTTTGTTTCACCTGGGTCCTGATAATCTGTCTTCTCTTTGTTTCACCTGGGTCCTGTCAATCTTTCTATCTTTGTTTCACCTGGGTCCTGTCAATCTGTCTTCTCTTTGTTTCACCTGGGTCCTGTCAATCCTTCCTATCTTTGTTTCACCTGGGTCCTATCAATCTGTCACATCCCTGTTTCACCTGGGTCCTGTCAATCTGTCCTGTCATTGTTTCACCTGGATCCTGATAATCTGTACTATCTTTGTTTCACCTGGCTCCTGATAATCTGTCTTCTCTTTGTTTCACCTGGGTCCTGTCAATCTGTCCTATCTTTGTTTCACCTGGGTCCTGTCAATCCTTCCTATCTTTGTTTCACCTGGGTCCTGTCAATCTGTCTTCTCTTTGTTTCACCTGGGTCCTGTCAATCCTTCCTATATTTGTTTCACCTGGCTCCTGATAATCTGTACTATCTTTGTTTCACCTGGGTCCTGTCAATCTGTCTTCTCTTTGTTTCACCTGGGTCCTGTCAATCCTTCCTATCTTTGTCTCACCTGGGTTTTGTCACACTACCCGGAACTATCTTATCTTTACTATTTACCCGGGTAAATAAAGTGTACCATACAAATGGATGAGTAAAACTTTAACACTTTCAAGCCTTTATTGACTGGTACATACATATCAGGATATCTGTTAAAATTATATTACGGGGAATATAAATAACTTGTACTTACACCTTGAAGTTCCTGTTTGAAAAGCAACACAAAGTCATCACAACTTCTATCATGTCCACTTATTTACTTAAACCACCTTGCTGTTTTCTAAGGCACATGATATAAACTGTCTGATATCAATAGCTCTCTCTCTTGTATGGGATATCTACTCGTCATCATTGTTTGCAAATTGGCCAGTTAGTTAACCTTTATTTTCACACAAGCCGCTATCAGTTACATTAGACGTACAACAATTACACCATTATGTACATTTTAATATACAGGTATACAATATGCGACCCGTGAAGGTCCGGATTAGAATTAGCCTCCAGCAACCCATGCTTGTCCTAAGAGGCGACCAAAGGGATTGGCTGGTCAGGCTTGCTGACCTCGTTGACACATGTCATCGTAACAATATTGCGAAGATCTATGCTCCTGATGTTGATCACTGGATTGTCTAGTCCTGATTCGATTATTTACAGGTCGTCGGCATAAAACTGGAATATTGCCGAGCGCTAACCAACAGACAAACAAAGAAATACTTACTAGGGTTGGAACAAGCTGAATATCTGCACATTTTTACAGAAGAACTCAAGCTTAACATTACCTTTTTCAGTTCCAAATCAGCGAGTCCTCAAATGGTCATGTTTAAACAAGCACTGGACTGTCAGCAAACAAACAAACACACCTTGATGCATATTGTATGAATGGCGGCCGTTACAGCATCGTCAGCATCCCAAGCATTGCAGATGTTGCACCACAACTGAACACAAAGAAAAATAGAAAACAAGCCTTGTTCAGTTTAGGTTCAATATCTTCCCACTTTGGTCGTCCCTGCTCTTCGTCCTCCACATTGCCCATCTCAACATCTACTTTACGTATGTCTTTCTTATACATTCCTAAGACCCACTTCGGCGGTAGACTCTCTTTCATTTTGAAGAGGAGGATGTTGACAACGACGATGACGACACTCGTAAAGTTGACCAGAGAGACATAGAGACTGAAGAGGCTGACGGTCAGGGAGTTCTCTGGCAGGGAGTCCCTGATGATGGACAGAAACAGTTGGAAGCTGAGGAGGACAGACACGGCAGCGCTGGTCTTCTCTCCGCTCTGTGAAGGCAGCAGGAACACAAAGCTGTTGAGGAAGTAGAGGAGGAGCATGGGGAGCAGGATGGTAAAGATGTAGAACAGGGGACGTCTCTTTAAATGGATGGTTACGCGGAATATGTTAGTACTATAACTTCTGTGTATATCCGCAATGTCGTCTACATAAATCTCAAACTCACTATTCTCTTCAAATTGTTTCATCTGAATGCCTGTTTCCCTTGAGATACTTATTTTATTCAAGTCACCGAACCATCCACCAACTTCAATTTCACAAGTCTGGGTATCGAAGGGAAACTTGTAAATGTTTATGGGACACTTTGTTTCCATTGCTCCTGCGAGGAGCCATCGAATATTTCCATGACTGGTAACCACCAGAGAACCTTCATTATGCAGTAGCTCTTGTCCCTTGATACCATTTGCTATAATCAATTCAGGTTTCCAGAATTTGTTCGAGTCCGCAAGAATACTTTTCTCTGAGCTCAACGAAGCATTCCAAACAACACGATGGTCGTACCAGGAGAAGATCATCCACATGGTGCTGCTGAGAAATTGTTTTTTATTATCCAGTTCTTGCACAGACAGCAATCCTGCTTGAAAGGTAATGTTAACTACATTGCTTGGCTTGTGATGGGCTTTGTAGCCTTTTAAGATGGCGTCAGTGACTTCTCCGTCAGACATTGAACATGTGCCCCATGGTGCAGCTTGCAGTATGCATGTCAAGATAGTAACTGTTCTGATGTCCATCATTTTCTCAAGTGAGCGTGTTCGTCCAGGTGTTTCTCTTCTGATTGATGTGTTTCCAGGTTCTCCTGTATTTATGAAATATTATCAGTTAGTTTCTATGGAGATGAACATTAAACGAAATCTAATCCTTGGAAATGACCTTAATGCATGTCAATATGAACGTTTTAGCGCCATGTGCATATTGCACTTGAATAACTATGAATCTAAAACATGCTTCAATCAAGTACGCTTCGAAATATTTACTTTCTGTTGTTCACCCAAGAGAGATATAGTATGAGTTTCCTAGATCAATAGGAGTATTTAGCGCTGACTTTCTTTTAATATGGATTGTCTATGCAATATTTGCACAAAGAGATCATGTGTAAAAATATACTGTCAGACACTTTTATAATTAGGGGATAACTGTACTGTGTTTGACGAATTTACGGACGTATATCGATGGTTATATAGCCGCAAATTTAGCTATATCGGCGACGCGACTCTGTAAAATTACAGTTAAATTATGATACTGTTTTGACCTTACTAGCACAAATTCCATCCATTTTGCTATAATGAGGGAGTTATTTGAAGACTCACGGCTTCTGCAAATGATAATGCCCAGAAAATAGCGTTACACCTTTAGTGTAGGGATACAATCAAAGGTTTTGGTGAATCGGTTTTCAAATTGATACCGTATATGCTGATTATACGGTCGGAAATGTATAGCATTGGCCAATCAGAACTCGTGTTACATACTCAGTTGAAATAGAATTATAAATAAACATCTGTACTGAAAAAGAGTCCATTGTAAGATTATATCATTTGCATGGTGCAATATCAGTGATGCAAAAGTTTAAAATGTTACTTACGTATCTACCATAAGATCTTTTTCAAAGATCTGTTGTTCAATCGGTAACGCGCCTATTCTGCTGGAATATTGCTTCTCATAGGGTTAAGACTTACTTCTGGAAAATTGATTTGTTTTATTTGGTTTTTGTATCAACATTGTATCTACATGGCGGCGGTCTGGATCTGGTTCAGAGGAAGGTTCCGGGTTATAAATGATCACTCACTCAGAGGAAGTAAATTGTCAAACATCGGTATCGAACCATATTACATCATAGAAATAACAAAAGCCAACGTAATACTTTTTGGTCAAAGTTCATTGTGCAATCAGAGTAGCATAAGACAGAATTTCATGGATGTCAACTGCTTCTTTATTGTATATGCAACGTTTCTGGGTTTTTCCTTGCCCTTTCGTCACCTGACAATAGAGAAGAAGTTGGCATCCATAATGCTTTGTCTTATACTAGAATACAAACTTCTATGTGCAATCAGAGTTGAAATGTATATACTCATGGAAACGAATAAGGGAACACCTGAAAGTATAATGTTCCCTTATTATTTTCCAGGTTTCTTCACAAATTCTGTATTGCACTGAAGGTGAAATTCTGGAAAAGAATAAAGGAACACTTGTACTTTCATGTGTTCCCTTAAATTCGTTTCCATGAGTACATTTATGTGCTGTATACACAAGGCGTCTCTTTCTTCAAACTAATACAGTAATTGTATCAGTGATTGTGCAGTGATACTGTGGGCAAATATTCTAACACCTAACACGTACCTTGGGCTGTATGTGCGGAAACTAAATGAGCGACGTTAATTGATTACTCACTCACTCACTCATGCGTTAAAGCCATCGTTATCATTACATGTTTTGCATTTTGCAGTCATTTTAAAGGTCTAATGTATATTTAACCTATTGTGTACAGAAAATACCTAATCACATTGCAAGACCTGTCTTCTGTTACGAGGATGGTCATCAAAATGAGGTACAGCTCTGTCTTGGTCGTGATGTACCGTTGTCCATTACGAGTTTGTCATATCCTCGCAAGGTCAAGTTTACAGTCATGTGAGAGACGCTACTTCTCATACAAAATTGGCTCCCGGCTCCCTGTGTGCTCGCCAACCAGCTATTCGGGACCCAGCTTGACTTCCGGTACACGAAGCAGTTCTGGTTCAAAATTGCGCGACCGCCAAATATGAACTTTACTAGACCGGACCAAGTGTACAACCATTGCTTGGCTGTCACAGTTGTTGACAGTCTAATAGTTGGTGATGTGAGAGACAACGCCGGCGCCACACCATCAATGAGCCCTAGCTTGCTGAAAGACATTCGTTTAGCATATGCAGTGTTTCTGAGGCGCCAAACACAAGCTCGGCTATCAGTCACCAACAAACAAAATGACTTTAGTCTAACCAATAAACCTTTCCCAATGACGTCAGATTTCTTTGACGGTGTGCTGCTGTGTGCTGTGAGGATAACAACGGAGGTCTGATAGGTCGTCTGCGGCTATTTTAGGCGATTTCGGAAGGGATACAGAATGAAGTAGCATCACCTTTTAATGAATATTCATCAGTGTATTTTGTATCGCCAATGCGACATTGTTGCACAATGATCTCTACAAATCTGGACTTTCAGCCCAAGCAGGTGTAACCGATCGCTGGTATTTATACCTACTTGTGTGTCCCACTTCTTTTGTATTAGATCACGGGTGTAAGATCTAATCACGGGTTTATAATCGGAGTATGGGATTTAAGGTGGCGTTGCAGATTTGTTGAATTTCACCATGGCTGGATAACCAACAGAGGTCGATGTATTGGCCAGAAGCAAGATCATTACATGTATATGATTCAGTTATTTCAGTTAAAAGTGGATGCTGACAAGGCCAATTTTTAATAGCCTGAAGTTTAATCTGAAAATAGTATATATTGTTTATATTTGGGATGTTTATAGATGGATTTAAGAGCTGTTAATTTGGCGGTTGCTTTTGCTGTGAACATAGGGCAGTTATTTGGAAATAGAGAAGATATTGTACTGGACCCAATGACAGTGGCTCTGGCAACTGCGCTCCATTCTTGGATCCATCTGTAAATAAAGACTTGAATGTATTATATATACTTCTTCATTGTTTAACTTCTTGTCTATACTGTAATGCATTTGTGTTTTATTTCATTAATGCGTTAGTGTTATGTGTACTTGTTAACAGCCGGGAAGAAGATGTATTTCCTTGCTCAGTGTTAGCAGCAAGAAATGAATGGTTTCAGTCGTATTTCTACAGGCGGAATAATGTTTGTCGTAAAAGGCGAGTAACGGGATCGGGTGGTCAGGTCAGGTGAAGATCGATGCTCCTGACGTTGATCACTGGATTGTCGGGTGCAGACTCGATTATTTACAGACCGCCGTCATATAGTTGGACTAGTGCTGAGTGCGGCGTTAAGCACCAAACCAACCAACCAAACAACCAACAGACGAAATAAGAGAAGATTTTTTATTATACAGATACTCATAAAGAGGATGTAGTATGCAGGGTTAGATTAATTAGAATATAGTTTTGTGACATACTGCAAAAATGTTTTAAAGATGGTTCATCGGCCTCAACGTAAAGACTGTCAACGGCAGAAGTTCAAAAGGACCCAAGACAACGTCTTAGACCTTGGTCGTGAACAAGAGCAAGTAGTTTAAGGTTGATTTAAAAGTAATGACCGAACCAATGATCTACATGTAGACGGTCTAGTCCCAGAAATGACACACGGTCCAGCCGCAGAACAGAGTTCTTTATTTCATTGTGTCCGAGCCAGGTGATGGCGTTTAACACTCAATTCTGCAACACTATATACATTGTCTTACACATCTCACATTCAAATACAACTAAATCGAAATAGCATTAGAAATAGAAACTACCAACATTTACATAATTACCAGCTATGGGCTTAATCGAATGGCCTGGTGCTTCATCAACAGAACGCCATCAATAGTATGTCTATGTATCTAAACACAATATCAATGATATAAAAGCTACGTAAAACACTACAAAAACATATAATTAAATGTAAATACCAATTGCATTTTACGAGCAAACACTAGTTTAAAATACATCATGATATTGAGTGCAATACAAATTACTTTCAAAGCAATGGCTTTACACAAACACATGAGATATTGAAAAGCATTTTATCTCAACATTACATATCATACATCCAACAATAACACTTGAAAATACCATAAATCGATTGAAATATTTTTGTACTTATTATCCTTATCAGAATACATTATAATACATAAAATTAACCTTTAATTTCCTCAAGACAAAACAAATGTTTCTCCTGAAGTTGCCAGCCAGCATGAAATTACTGAGCACCTTGCCTTGAATGAAAAACGTGAACTGCAACTTAAACCCAATGAGAAGTTGTAAGGCTTCTTTGTAAACTTTAAGCCAATCGGCACAGCTGGTAGAAAATATGAACTGCGAGCTAGCCTTGCATAGGTGACGAGGCTCCATATGGTGGTACTCAGGGTCCCTACCTCATTATGAAATTAACAATATTCTAAAGCTTATTATTAAAACCTATCAACGAACAATATCAAGATGAATACAAGCTACTACATATGTACATCCACCCTGTTACATATATTAGTTTATTATCCGTCCGTGTAAGATACTGCAATGTAATATTTTACGGCAATTTTATACCAGGAAGGAAGATTTACTGCCTGTGACTATTCATGACTCTGATATAGAAATCGTGTCAGACTATAAGTATTTGGGAACTGTTATAGACAATAAGCTCAACTGGAACAAGAATACGGACAGAATCTATGCTAAGTGCCAACAACGCCTGTACTTCCTAAGAAAACTTAGATTATTCAATGTTAGCACACCCACGCTTGTTTTATTCTACAAAACATTTATCCAAAGTGTTCTTTGTTTTTCCATTGAAGCGTGGTCGGGGGCTCTCACAATAAAACAAAGAAACAAATTCTCCAAAACAATAACTCAAGCAGGCAAAATTTCAGGTACAACATTCGAGGACATCACATGTCTAGGTCAGCGGCAAGTCAGAAAACTCGAACCACTTTCTCATCCCGAATATAAACTTCTTCCTTCAGGCCGCCGCTATCAAACTCCCCGCCTCAGGACAAAGAGAGCCACCGACTCATTTATCCCATACCGTATTGTTATTTTAAACAAACAGAAGTAGTTTTATTTATTCTTAGCATTCTACTGTGTTTTATGTATCTGTTCTGTATCCAGTGCTAGTCTTAAAGTGTTATACATTGTAGTTTATTTATTTATTTTCTTAATGTCCAGTTTTATCCTTCCCCTTTACATTCGTTTAATCTTTGAAACAACAACATTTGGTCATGTTATAACGTACTTTAAATCATTTTAACCACTGTTGATTGCTCACTGTGATCTGTGAGAGCTCCTCAGGTCGTGTGACTGATGTTGTTCGTGTTGTAATGTGTGTGTAATGGATATATGTATTTATTGTAATTCCAGCGTCCATAACGCAAGACAAATTCCCTTCTTGGGCAATAAAGTATTATTATTATTATTATTATTAGTGTAATACCGCTGGACATTAGACATTGCGTGACTCGCGGAAAGCTGAGAGTAACCACACTGTAGGCAGTTTCTATCAAAGTATGTTGGAAAGTAATAAAAAGAATACTAAACTCGCTTCCACGAAATACCATTTTTATTAAACTTGTGACAGATTTAGTATCAAACGAGCTTTCGCTCTTTTGATACCAAAATCATTAACTCGGTTAATAAAAATGGTATTACACGGAAGGTCGTTTAGTATCCTCTATGTAGGGAGGTAGCTTGATCCCCTCCCCACGTTAAATTAGAAACGACTTTCAACAAATCAAATTCCTTCAAGCATTTAGCTTTGAGGTATTTAATATTTGACAAAAAGGTTAAATGGGAGCAAAAAAAGAACCCAAGACCTTGGCCTCCTTGCAACTTTGATTGGGGTGCCATTCAGAAATAGTTCTAGGTCTTTGTGCGGTGTATATTTTCTGTAAAAATGTGAACAATTAGTTTTTTATTTAGAAGATTTAATGCATTTTTCAAGTGACCATTTGTGAATTTTCATTGAGACAGATTGTATATTGTATGCATATATTTACCATAACAAGAAATATTAAAATCATCCACGAAAGGTGATTCATCAACTGAATCAGTTAAAACCTTTGAAAAACTATTATTTCAATATTCAATAATGTGACAGACAAAATACTGCCTCGTGGAACACCCTGATCCTGATTATAATAATCAGCCAGAGTTGAACGGTTTGGAGTTCAAGTTGCCTGTTTGTTCAAAACTGCGATATATACTGAGACAAAGGACCTTTACAACCCAAATCATGTAAATCCTTTAAAATGGCCTGCTTCCAGGTAGTATCGTGTGTTTTCTGAAGATCAAAGAAAATTTAGACTAAGTGTTGTGTAGATACATGAAGCATTTGTAACAAAGGTTTCCAACCGTACTTCCAATGGTACTTCGATTGTTCCAGAAACCAAATTGTACATTTGTAATTAAGTTATTGGTTTCCACATACAATATTAATCTATTATATACAATTCATTCTATGCTTTTACAAGCACAATTCGTTAAATATATCGGTCTGATATCAGAATAATCAGTATGATCCCGGCCACGTGTTGGTATAGGTACTGCAAGGGCATTGTGCCACGAAGGTGAAAAATTCCCTATTTCCCTATTAAAAGTCCATGTTTTACCAAATCTAAATAAAGATGTGTCTCCAGCTATGGTTCGGGTACATGCTTCAAGAGCTCTAAGCTTATAGTATCAGCCCATTTTGCTGTAGCATGAGCTTGCCCATGTTCAAGCAGCAATTTGTGTTAACTGTAACAAACATTATACATACATAACATTAATCCCCTGAGATTATATATCTCATTTATAAGACAAATAAGAAAATATCCATGTCACAAGTGACCTGGTTGGTGGTTCGGTAGCTATCACACGTGACCCAGTTGATGGTTTTGTACCTGTCACACGTCACCTAGTTGATGGTTTGGTAGCTGTCACACGTGACCCAGTTGATGGTTGGGTAGCTGTCACACGTAACACCCAGTTGATGGTTGGGTAGCTGTCACACGTAACACCCAGTTGATAGTTTGGTACCTGTCACACGTGACCTAGTTGATGGTTTGGTAGCTGTCACACGTGACCCAGTTGATGGTTGGGTAGCTGTCACACGTAACACCCAGTTGATGGTTGGGTAGCTGTCACACGTAACACCCAGTTGATAGTTTGGTACCTGTCACACGTGACCTAGTTGATGGTTTGGTAGCTGTCACACGTGACCCAGTTGATGGTTTGGTAGCTGTCACACGTAACACCCAGTTGATGGTTTGCTAGCTGGCACATGTAACACCCAGTTGATGGTTTGGTACCTGTCACACGTAACCCAGTTGATGGTTTGGTACCTGTCACACGTAACCTAGTTGGTGTATCAATAGCTATCTCATATGCTGTCAACAGATTCGGTTCACGGCAGGCTGCCATGTTCTGGTGGCATTACCGGCTCCTGAGTAAATGTTCCTTTTTGTATTGGACATGTGACATCGACATCAGAAATGGTCTCAAGTACCCATGGGCCAGTCGAAGGGGCGGCTAACGATATCAGGAAGTCAGGCTCACAGAATTTGTTGATGCTCATATTTGGGGGTGCAGTGGGGTAACCTAGTCGTTAAAGCGTTCTCTCGTCACGCAGGAGACTCGGGTTCGATTCCCCATATGGGTACAATATGTGAAGCCCATTTCTGGTGTCCCCCGCCGTGGTATTGCTGGAATATTGCTAAAAGCGGCGCAAGACCGTATTCACTCACTCATAGCTGGTGTACCCCGTCGTGATATTAATGAAAAGATTCCTGAAACAATTCCATTCACATCACAAGTTCAGGTCCCCGTGTGGTACAATATGCGAATAGCTATTCCTAAATGCGATACGAGTCTTATTGCTTAAAAGCAACAATCCTGTCATAGCAATTTAGCGTCACTTCCGTGGAGATACACTAGCCGAACAGGATTCACTAGTAAATGAATCAAGCTGGAGTCAGTAGTAAAAATCTGTTTTGATGTCTGTTACTTTCTTTATATACTCGTGGAAACGGATAAGGGAACACATTAAATTTCCTCTATTCTCTTCCAGGTTTCTTCACAATGAATGTATTCAGTGTTAGTGAAATTCTGGAAATAAGTAAAGGAACACTTACACTTTCATGTCTTCCCTTATTCGTTTCTGTGAGTATATTTGGACCATACTATCCAGTGATCAACAGCATGAGCATCGATCTATGCAAATTGGATACCATGACACTTGTCAACCAAGTCAGCGAGCCTGACCACCCGATCCCGTTAGTCGCCTCTTACGACAAGCATGGGTTGCTGAAGATCAATTCTAACCCGGAGCTTCACGGGTCACAAAATCGTTTAACAAAAATAATATGCGACATACAACACCTTAACTTAAAATATCACCCAAAGGAACACTAAATGTCTATCATTCTTGAAGATATTTTTTCGTTTCATTTACATATTTAATGATAGGCATAGGTTTAGTATTCTTTCTATGTCTCCACGAGCGATGTTATACTGGTGAGTATAGGTTGGACTGTAGGAGAGATAAGGAGTCTGATCAGTTCAGTTAACTCACTGACTGTCATCGTACTACTGTACCACTATGACCTTGCTGGTGTTCATGACATCAACCATTGGCTTCTCGGTCCAGATTCCATCATTTACCGAAATATGGTCATCAGGAAGTCCGCCAATATCATCGTTGATATTTGCCAGAGGATATTTGGCTTTGGTAGTTCTAACCCAATAAGAATTCTTCCCTTTATAAAGTTCACCACAAACGCTACTTCAACAAAATTCCTCTTTCAGGAAAATCACAACAAACAATTGGTATGTTTTCGTGACATTCTGTAAAGGTTATCGTATGAAACATCGATGTCCAATGTGCACGCGGAAGTTTTAATTTGCATGAGCAAGTCGCTAATTGAACCACTCGAAGATTCTTGCACACACATTTTAACAGATTGAATTGATGGCATTGAAAGGATTTTGATTGCGTCCAGGATTAGGTATCGAGAAAAGTTAAGGATCACCTCACGAATAAGGAAATTTCCCGACGCCCAAATGTCATCACAAATATTTACAAGACTCTCCATATGATTCTGGTAAAAACGTCAGGAGTTGGTAATGTATGTTATCGGCTTCTATAGCTGTATCCTGAGCTTGTTCAATAGCCCTGTAGTGCTCGTGAATACATAATGCTTCATTTTAAGCTTCCCCGTTATTTGAATTGAAATTATTGGTGTTCTTTTCTTGCTGTTTTTAATAAACTTTGGAATTAAAGTACATAATTAGAAGAGTGCGCGAGTGAGTAAGTATGGTTTTACATCGCTTTTAGCAATGTTCCTGCGGGGGACATCAGAAATGGGCTGCACACATTGTACCCTGGTGGGGAATCGAACCTGGGTTTTCGGCGTCACGAGCGAACGCTTTAACCACTAGGCTACACCACCGCCCTTTTTAGGAGAGAATGATTTGATATTTGATAAATATTCTTTCACCAATACTGTCGTTTACTTTCTTTAACAGTAGGCCGTGCAATAGCATTTAAAATGTGGAATACGTTGGGCTATCATGTGTGAAGCCCATTTCTGGAGCGACATTGTTGGAATATTGCTAAAACCGGCGTAAAACCAAACTCACTCATTCAGTGACCCATTCATATAATCTTCGCCGTTCTTTTGCCTTTAATGTTCAATGTTACATCAGACCCGTGGAGGTCAGGGTTAGAATTGGCCTTCAGTAACCCATGCTTGTCGTAAGAGGCGATTAACGGGATCGGGTGGTCAGGCTCGCTGACTTGGTTGACACATGTCATCGGTTCCCAATTGCGTAGATCGATGCTCATGTTGTTGATCACTGGATTGTCTGCATACAACTCACTCACTCACTCACTCACTCACTCACTCACTCACTCACTCACTCACTCACTCACTCACTCACTCACTCACTCACTCACTCACTCACTCACTCACTCACTCACTCACTCACTCACTCACTCACTCACTCACTCACTCACTCACTCACTCACTCACTCACTCACTCACTCACTCACTCACTCCACTCACTCACTCACTCACTCACTCACTCACTCACTCACTCACTCACTCACTCACTCACTCAGAAGAGCTGCACTGCTTACTCCCGGGCGTTGTATATTACACATCGATAAATGAAGTTGAGGGATATTTGCCAAGACATCATAATAGCAGGCTGAATATTGTTCGGTAAACAGTTCATTGCGTAATCCGGTAATGAATCAGGGACTTTTCATTTAGATAAATCGGAAAGATGGCACAATATTTAAATTCAGTTGTCATGGTATTCATTATCGATTGATACCATCAAGCACAGAATGTTTTCCATAGCAGTCACGATATACCGGAAAAATCATGGTTAAATTGCCGTAGATACTTTTATAAGAGTTTCAAACTTTTTGTTTCAAAATATACCCGTCCTGTCAATCTGTCCTATCTTTGTTTCACCTGGCTCCTGATAATCTGTACTATCTTTGTTTGACCTGGGTCCTGCCAATCTGTCTTTTCTTTGTTTCACCTGGGCCCTGTCAATCCTTCCTATCTTTGTTTCACCTGGGTCCTGTCAATCTGTCATATCCCTGTTTCACCTGGGTCCTGTCAATCTGTCCTATCTTTGTTTCACCTGGCTCCTGATAATCTGTACTATCTTTGTTTGACCTGGGTCCTGTCAATCTGTCTTCTCTTTGTTTCACCTGGGTCCTGTCAATCCTACCTATCTTTGTCTCACTTGGGTCCTGTCACACTAGCCTATCTTTGGTGTAGTTGGGTCTATATTTGAAATCCTGTCACTCTATCCTATCTTTGTTGTACTTTGGTCCTGACAATCTGTCCTATCTTTGCATCACTTGGTGTTGGGTCCTGCCAATCTATTGTATCTTTGTCTCACCTGGGTTTTGTCACACTACCCGGAACTATCTTATCTTTACTATTTACCCGGGTAAAGAAAGTGTACCATACAAATGGATGAGTAAAACTTTAAAACTTTCAAGCCTTTATTGACTGGTACATACATATCAGGATATCTGTTAAAATGATATTACGGGGAATATAAATAACTTGTACTTACACCTTGAAGTTCCTGTTTGAAAAGCAACACAAAGTCACCACAACTTCTATCATGTCCACTTATTTACTTAAACCACCTTGCTGTTTTCTAAGGCACATGATATAAACTGTCTGATATCAATAGCTCCACTCGTCATCATTGTTTGCAAATTCGCCAGTAAGTTAACCTTTATTTTCACACAGGCCGCTATCAGTTACATTAGACGTACAACAATTACACCATTATGTACATTTTAATATACAGGTATACAATATGCAACCCGAGAAGGTCCGGATTAGAACTAGCCTCCAGCAACCCATGCTTGTCCTAAGAGGCGACCTAAGGGATTGGCTGGTCAGGCTTGCTGACCTCGTTGACACATGTCATCGTAACAATATTGCGAAGATCTATGCTCCTGATGTTGATCACTGGATTGTCTAGTCCTGATTCGATTATTTACAGGTCGTCGGCATAAAACTGGAATATTGCCGAGTGCGGCGCTAACCAACAGACAAACAAAGAAATACTTACTAGGGTTGGAACAAGCTGAATATCTGCACATTTTTACAGAAGAACTCAAGCTTAACATTATCCTTTTCAGTTCCAAATCAGCGAGTCCTCAAATGGTCATGTTTAAACAAGCACAGGACTGTCAGCAAACAAACAAACACACCTTGATGCATATTGTATGAATGGCGGCCGTTACAGCATCGTCAGCATCCCAAGCATTGCAGATGTTGCACCACAACTGAACACAAAGAAAAATAGAAAACAAGCCTTGTTCAGTTTAGGTTCAATATCTTCCCACTTTGGTCGTCCCTGCTCTTCATCCTCCACATTGCCCATCTCAACATCTACTTTACGTATGTCTTTCTTATACATTCCTAAGACCCACTTCGGCGGTAGACTCTCTTTCATTTTGAAGAGGAGGATGTTGACAACGACGATGACGACACTCGTAAAGTTGACCAGAGAGACATAGAGACTGAAGAGGCTGACGGTCAGGGAGTTCTCTGGCAGGGAGTCCCTGATGATGGACAGAAACAGTTGGAAGCTGAGGAGGACAGACACGGCAGCGCTGGTCTTCTCTCCGCTCTGTGAAGGCAGCAGGAACACAAAGCTGTTGAGGAAGTAGAGGAGGAGCATGGGGAGCAGGATGGTAAAGATGTAGAACAGGGGACGTCTCTTTAAATGGATGGTTACGCGGAATATGTTAGTACTATAACTTCTGTGTATATCCGCAATGTCGTCTACATAAATCTCAAACTCACTATTCTCTTTAAACTGTTTCATATTAAGGCCTGTTTCCCTTGAGATACTTATTTTATTCAAGTCACCGAACCATCCACCAACTTCAATTTCGCAAGTCTGGGTATCGAAGGGAAACTTGTAAATGTTTATGGGACACTTTGTTTCCATTGCTCCTGTGAGGAGCCATCGAATATTTCCATGACTGGTAACCACCAGAGAACCTCCATTGTGGAGTAGCTCTTGTCCCTTGATACCATTTGCTATAATCAATTCAGGTTTCCAGAATTTGTTCGAGTCCGCAAGAATACTTTTCTCTGAGCTCAACGAAGCATTCCAAACAACACGATGGTCGTACCAGGAGAAGATCATCCACATGGTGCTGCTGAGAAACTGTTTTTTATTATCCAGTTCTTGCACAGACAGCAATCCTGCTGTAAAGGTAATGTTGACTACATTGCTTGGCTTGTGATGGACTTTGTAGCCTTTTAAGATGGCGTCAATGACTTCTCCGTCAGACATTAAACATGTGCCCCATGGTGCAACTTGCATTATGCATGTCAAGATAATAACGTTCCTGGCGTCCATCATGTTCTCAAGTGAGCGTGTTCGTCCAGGTGTTTCTCTTCTGATTGATGTGTTTCCAGGTTCTCCTGTATTTATGAAATGTTATCAGTGAGTTTCTATGGGGATGAACATTAAAGGGAATCTAATCCTTGGAATTGAACAACGTTAGAAAGGACTTTAATGCATGTCAATATGAACATTTTAGCGCCATGTGCATAGTGCACTTGAATAACTATGAATCTAAAACATGCTTCAATCAAGTACGCTTCGAAATATTTACTTTCTGTTGTTCATCCAAGAGAGATATAGAATGAGTTTCATAGATCAATAGGAATATTTAGCGCTGACTTGCTTTTAATATGGATTGTCTATGCAATATTTGCACAAAGAGATCATGTGTAAAAATATACTGTCAGACACTTTTATAATTAGGGGGATAACTGTACTGTGTTGTCGGCGACGCGACTCTGTAAAACTGCAGTTAAATTATGATACTGTTTTGACCTTTCTAGCACAAATTCCATCCATTTTGCTATAATGAGGGAGTTTTTTGAAGACCCACGGCTTGTGCATATGATAATGCCCAGAAAATAGCGTTACACCTTTAGTGTAGGGATACAATCAAAGGTTTTGGTGAATCGGTTTTCAAATTGATACCGTATATGCTGATTATACGGTCGGAATTCTCATTAAAATATTTATAGAAAGAAATTGACTTGTATCTCAAACGTTGTGAAATGTAGACCCCAAATGCTGAATCTGCTGGAATATTGCTTCTCATAGGGTTACGATTTACTTCTGGAAAATTGATTTGTTTTATTTATTTTTTGTATCAACATTGTATCTACATGACGGCTGTCTGGACTAGATGGTTTAGAGGAAGGTTCTGGGTTATAATTGATGACTCACTCAGAGGAAGTATGGTTAAAGCGTTGGCTTGTCACGCCGAAGACCCGGGTTCGAATCCCCACATGGGTACAATGTGGGAAGCCCATTTCTGGTGTCCCCCGCCGTGATGTAGCTGGAATATTGCTAAAAGCGGCGTAAAACCAAACTCAGTCAGTCAGTCAGAGGAAGGCAATTGTCAAACATCGGTATCGAACCATATTACATCATAGAAATAACAAAAGCCAACGTAATACTTTTTGATCAAATTTCATTGTGCAATCAGAGTAGCATAAGACAGAATTTCATGGATGTCAACTGCTTCTTTATTGCATATGCAACGTTTCTGGGCTTTTCCTTGCCCTTTCGTCACCTGACAATAGAGAAGAAGTTGGCATCCATAATACTTTGTCTTACACTAGAATACAAACTTCTATGTGAAATCAGAGTTGAAATTATATACTCATTGAAAGGAACAAGGGAACACATGGAAGAACAAATGTTCCCTTATTCTTTTCCAGGTTTCTTCACAAATTCTGTATTGCACTGTAGGTGAAATTCTGGAAAAGAATAAACGAACACTTGTACTTTCATGTGTTCCCTTAAATTCGTTTCCATGAGTACATTTATGTGCTGTATACACAAGGCGTCTCTTTCTTCAAACTAATACAGTAATTTTATCAGTGATTGTGCAGTGATACTGTGGGCAAACATTCTAACACCTAACACGTACCTTGGGCTGTATGTGCGGAAACTAAATGTGAGACGTTAATTAATTAATTACTCACTCACTCACTCACTCATGCGTTAAAGCCATCGTTATCATTACATTTTTTGCATTTTGCAGTCATTTCAAAGGTCTAATGTAAATTTAACCTACTGTGTACAGAAAATACCTAATCACATTGTAAGACCTGTCTTCTGTTACGAGGATGGTCATCAAAATGTGGTACAGCTCTGTCTTGGTCGTGATGTACCGTTGTCCATTACGAGTTTGTCATATCCTCGCAAGGTCAAGTTTACAGTCATGTGAGAGACGCTACTTCTCATACAAAATTGGCTCCCGGCTCCCTGTGTGCTCGCCAACCAGCTATTCGGGACCCAGCTTGACTTCCGGTACACGAAGCAGTTCTGGTTCAAAATTGCGCGACCGCCAAATATGAACTTTACTAGACCGGACCAAGTGTACAACCATTGCTTGGCTGTCACAGTTGTTGACAGTCTAATAGTTGGTGATGTGAGAGACAACGCCGGCGCCACACCATCAATGAGCCCTAGCTTGCTGAAAGACATTCGTTTGGCATATGCAGTGTTTCTGAGGCGCCAAACACAGTCACTGAGGTGTTTCTCAGTCACCAACAAACAAAACGACTTGAGTCTAACCAATAAACCTTTCGCTATAATGACGTCAGATTTCTTTGACGGTGTGCTGCTTTGTTCTGTGGGGATAACAATGGAGGTCTGATAGGTCGTCTGCGGCTGTTTTAGGCGATTTCGGAAAGGATACAGAATGAAGTAGCATCACCTTTTAATGAATATTCATCAGTGTATTTTGTATCGCCAATGCGACATCGTTGCACAATGATCTCTACAAATCTGGACTTTCAGCCCAAGCAGGTGTAACCGATCGCTGGTATTAGTTGATGTAACTTATTGATACCTACTTGTGTGTCCCACTTCTTTTGTATTAGATCACGGGTGTAAGATCTAATAACGGGTTTATAATCGGAGTATGGGATTTAAGGTGGCGTTGCAGATTAGTTGAATTTCACCATGGCTGGATAACAAACAGAGGTCGATGTATTGGCCAGAAGCAAGATCATTACATGTACAGTCAAATCCCGATGAGTCGAATGCCGGTGTCTCGAATATTATGCATAACTCGAAGTATCTGTCGGTCCCGACCATTTCCTGTTATAGTTGTCATCTTTTGAATACCGGTTACACGAATTCGTCTCATAAATACACACGATGACTCGAGAAGGAAATTTGGTCCCATGAGATTCAAACAACAGCAATCTTGTATACATAAGCCGAAGTCAGTCAATGAGAAGTTGATTGGTGTAGCAAACTGATCCAATTAACAAACCAGCGCAGCTCACACGAAAATCACTGTCTGTGCTAATCAGACTGGAACTAATAAGGTGCCCCTATTAGTGATAGGGAAATCATTAGGTAAACAAATGCACAGGTGAAGGAATTAGGACGGGATCATCTTTTTTTTCTACCCTCATAGACATACCTATGTCTCGAATACATCGATAAGTCGAATGTCTTACTTGGTCCCCAGCGATTCGACTCATCGGGATTTGACTGTATATGATTCAGTTATTTCAGTTAAAAGTGGATGCTGACAAGGCCAATTTTTAATAGCCTGAAGTTTAATCTGAAAATAGTATATATTGTTTATATTTGGGATGTTTATAGATAGATTTAAGAGCTGTTAATTTGGCGGTTGCTTTTGCTGTGAACATAGGGCTGTTATTTGGAAATAGAGAAGATATTGTACTGGATCCAATGACAGTGGCTCTGGCAACTGCGCTCCATTCTTGGATCCATCTGTAAATAAAGACTTGAATGTATTATATATACTTCTTCATTGTTTAACTTCTTGTCTATACTGTAATGCATTTGTCTTTTATTTCATTAATGCGTTAGTGTTAGGTGTACTTATTAACAGCCGGGAAGAGGATATATTTCCTTGCTAAGTGTTAGCAGCAAGAAATGAATGGTTTCATTCGTATTTCTACAGGCGGAATAATGTTTGTCGTAAAAGGCGAGTAACGGGATCGGGTGATCAGGTCAGGCCAGGTCAGGTCAGGTGAAGATCGATGCTCCTGACGTTGATCACTGGATAGTCGGGTCCAGACTCGATTATTTACAGACGGCCGCCACATAGCTGGACTATTGCTGAGTGCGGCGTTAAACGCCAAACCAACTAAACAACCAACAGACGAAATAAAGAAGAATGTTTATAATACAGATCCTAATAAAGAGGATGTAGTATGCAGGGTTAGATTAATTAGAATATAGTTTTGTGACATACTGCAAAGATGTTTTAAAGATGGTTCATAGGCCTCAACGTAAAGACTATCAACGGCAGAAGTTCAAAAGGACCCAAGACAACGTCTTAGACCTTGGTCGTGAACAGGAGCAAGTAGTTTAAGGTTGATTTAAAAGTTATGACCGAACCAATGATCTACATGTAGACGGTCTAGTCCCAGAAATGACACACGGTCCAGCCGCAGGACAGAGTTCTTTATTTCATTGTGTCCGAGCCAGGTGATGGCGTTTAACACTCAATTCTGCAACATTATATACATTGTCAAATACAACTAAATCGAAATAGCATTAGAAATAGAAACTACCAACATTTACATAATTACCAGCTATTGGCTTAATCGAATGGCCTGGTGCTTCATCAACAGAACGCCATCAATAGTATGTCTATGTATCTAAACACAATATCAAAGATATAAAAGCTACGTAAAACACTACAAAAACATATAATTAAATGTAAATACCAATTGCATTTTATGAGAAAACACTATTTTAAAATACATCATGAGTGCAATACAAATTACTTTCAAAGCAATGGTTTTACACAAATACATGAGATATTGAAAAGCATTTTATCTCAACATTACATATCATACATCCAACAATAATACTTGAATATACCATAAATCGATTGAAATATTTTTGTACTTATTATCCTTATCAGAATACATTGTAATACATAAAATTAACCTTTAATTTCCTCAAGACAAAACAAATGTTTCTCCTGAAGTTGCCAGCCAGCATGAAATTACTGAGCACCTTGGCTTGAATGAAAAACGTGAACTGCAACTTAAACCCAATGAGAAGTTGTAAGGCTTCTTTGTAAACTTTAAGCCAATCGGCACAGCTGGTAGCAAATATGAACTGCGAGCTAGCCTTGCATAGGTGACGAGGCTCCATATGGTGGTACTCAGGGTCCCTACCTCATTATGAAATTAACAATATTCTAAAGCTTATTATTAAAACCTATCAACGAACAATATCAAGATGAATACAAGCTACTACATATG